GGCCAGTTGATCTGATGTGATTAAAAAATGCAGTGTTAAACTTCTCTGTAGGATATGTAAATTAAGTCCCCCAATTAAACATTACTTGCAGTTTTCGAGCGTGCTCTCTAATTTTGGTAAAATTTAAAATTTTCATTCCCAAGCTGAAAATCCTTCCTTTCCACGCGAGTTTAGGCTAATTTAAATGCTCTATACAGAGGATAGTAGTACGTCAGTAAAGTAATATGTATTCTACTAGTCAGCCAACAAATGGCATGGCCTGTATATAACCGCTGCAGTTGCTAACTGTCTTGAATTCTCCCAACCAACCTCGTGTTTAGATGAGGCTATGTAAACACGGAAAAAAGTGCTCTATTACTTAAGCTTAAATAATATGCTTTACGAGTAAGATTAAGTTTATTAGATGCAACACATTTTAAATTCGAACCAGTTTGGGCGGTATCACGGCTACCTATATTCTTCTACAAACCTCAGATATTCGTTTAACAAAGACTACTATAGAAAAAAGGGTGTACATTCGTATAGCTAGATGTCGCTTTTTGAGCCGGGCTGGACAAAAAAGATAAACAAAATAGGAACTGCCGACTGTTTGTTGCATAAAACTAACGGACGAATTTTCACATTTACTTGTTGTGGCGAAGTTAACTTTGACCTAAGGCTAAGAATTTGTTTTCTCAAAGTATGCATTATGCTAAGTTACTTGTAAGACCTCAGAGACTTTCGTCCAAAAAAAAATTAAGCTTCATGACAACTAACCTCGAGGATCTGCTTGGACCAGCGTAATTTCCTCCTTCACAGGGAACTTGCAAGCTTGACATTACTACAAGTACAACAGCCGAGAAAATGTAATGTGGTTATCGAAGTGAATGACATCAAATCATCTTCGAAGTACGGCAGTTTTAATCTCAAATCCACCTGTATTCTGCGTTTTCTCCAGGACGTCAAACTAAGAGATCCTGCGATGTCGACGTGACCTTTCATCACGGACGGACGGTGTATCCATAGCAACAGCTAACGACAGCTGATAATTCACTTCCGGCGAACGTCCGTGACTTGCAACGTCGTCGATGCTTAAGGTCCCTAGTTTCTCGGAATATGATTGTAAGACAATGTGTATCTTCTACGACCTGTCTCTGTCAAGTCACAAAATTAATACAATCAATCAATTGTTTTTTACATGACATGACTCGCGTAGATTTTATCGTGTGGTATGATCGTCCGGGTGAGAGTCGTACTGAAAAGAACAGTTTCCGCCGGTAGTTGTTGTGACTGAACGACATTAGCGGAAGTCGTTGTTAGAGTCAGGTGACTTCCGCCAAGGTTGTCGAAATGTCCGTTGCGTCCTCCTCGGGATTACTCCCATCCGGCCGCTTAAGTTGCACGAGAACGAAGACATCACACGTAAGTCTTAAAATTATTACTCGGACTTTCCGAATGAAACGCCCNCACGCATCAAACTATTGTAAATTTCAACTGAGTTCAGTTATAGACAAAAACCCTGGTCCTACACCAATGTACATTGACCCTAGCAAAACAATAAAGCACCATATAGCCAAGCTAATGAGTTGGTATTTGGACAAAATTCAAGACAACAATGTGTTGCAAGGAGTTTATGCTCTTTGATTTGCAATAACAAACAAGGAATCAATTCTGTTAATGATCTCGTGTCAATAATAAATATTGGAAATCAATTGAATTCAAGTTTGTCTCAGTTAACCAGACAATCATTTTTAATGCAGACAGAATTACCCACACTTTGAAATGTGTTCGAGACCGACTGAACTTTGATACATTGAGAACTACACTGGTACTGTTCATCAAGACGCTACAATAGAAGGATATCAGTACTGTACCTTCCTAGATAGGGCTTTTCAATCACATATCGGAAAATTTCAATAATTTTGTCTTAACAATAGGATGTACTGCAGTTGCTATCTATTGTAAAGGTAATGTGGGCTTGAAAATATTCGATTCTCATGCAAGGGACATTTATTGTAGAAGCCATCCTCAAGGTACATTTATGCTGCTTGAAGTAACATCACTGAATAGCTTAGTACATTATTTTCAGAGTATGCATAACAATGTTATATTTAAGTTGAAAGGGGTTAAAATTAATAATGTTCAAAATAGTTCCCCTTTTCAGAGTCATGCCTGTGAAACCAGAAAGTTAAATGTGAGTTGTGCTGTGGCTGTCTATTCACTCTGCTACTCCATGATAAAATCGTGTAGTTATTGGAATTCAAACACCTAGTCTAATGTTATTCAGTATGGCAAAAGATTATATGAAAATTCATCTTTAAACAAGTATTTACCATCAGATGATTTGCCATAAAACTGTTGATGTTTGTGGAACTGAAGTAAGTTTATATCCTAAAAGTGATTACAGTGAAGGAATATTGTCTGATTCACTTGACAGAAAATCAATTCTTGAAAATCTTATAAGAAATAATAGTGAATGCGCAGGGTTTTTGATGTGGTTTTCAGTTTTTGTATGTATTTTTAAACCCACAAAAAGGTCAAAATATGTATATTCCCTCTTGGTATTAAATGAAAATCAAATTCCTCTAATTGAATATACTAAAACTGTAAATAGCACTGCTTCTCTTGTGGCCATCAGCAATATTCAGAGATTTTTCTACTAAAAACAATATGAAATATTGAACAGTAATATTGCTTCAATCTACTGATTTCTGACAACTCTCCTTGAGTGAACATTTGGCAACAAACTGTGACTCGGTACCAATAATGGATAAAAAATTCCCTTCTCCTTGCAGTCAAAGGCAAGTACATTACCTACACAGGGTTCATAAAACCTTGAAGGTCCTTGAAGATGCTTGCATTTAAAAATAAAAAATTTAAGGCCTTGAAAGTACTTGAATTTGAGGACTAGAGCTTGATTTTTGGAATACTTTTTCAAGTTGAAAATTACAGTACTTTCTTGGAAAAGGTAAGAAATAATTTTAAAATTGCCTTTGCAAACCTTTCCAAAAGTGGTTCTTCAATTTTCTAAAACTTGGCCTTCAAAGTCATTGAAAAAGTCCTTGAATTTCAGCCTTTGTGATCTGTAGGAACCTACTCCTATATGGTAATATAGTATTTTGATTGTTGTCTAGTAGCATGACAACATTGATTACACTCAAACAGACAAAAATAAACAGTAGACTTATTCATGACTGGTAATGACAAAATTGCGTGACAATGGCAATCTGGCAGCCCCTTAAAGATAACTCCAGATGTGCAATATTGAAAGCCCAAGTTAACGTAGCTATGCGTCTAGTTTACAACTGAAGTGCACAAATGATAAGTTCGTTAAGCAATATTGGAAAAAAATTTAGGAATGTTACTAAAAGTAGAGAAAAGGTATAAGGACGAGAAGGAAACAAGATAAAAATATAAGTTGATATGTTGAATGTTTAAGCCACTCAAACAGTTAAGGGAACTGAGGGGGGTCACCTCAAGCAACTAAAATTCATTAAAGGACCATAGCATTAAATACCATAACTTTCATTTATGTCCATGTAAAAATTTAACTCAGGATAGAGATTACAGTGCTTCTCCCCAAAGGAAGCTTGCAACCATATATATAAATAAAGCTCTTCACTGTAGTAGTCTTTTTAGTACAAAAGAAGTGAAGACTTTTTCATTCCAAATTCATGGGGTTTCCAAGAAATTTTCACGGTGCTTGCTGATTCTTAACAATCCCATGAAAACTAACTGGCAATTACCTTTCGTTTCCCATGAAAATACCATCATGGAGAGGCAATGAAAATTCAGGGAAAATGTTGATGGTCAATTTTTAACATATTCACAGGATTTTCATGATAATTTGCTGCAACCATTAAAAACTAGTGAATTTTAATACCATGATTCTTTCTTGACATGAAATTTATGGGTTTTCAGTACCTTTGAAAAGGCCATGAAATGCCATTTTCATGGATATTTAATGCCCTCTTGGTCACCTTGCACAATATTTCATGGGTCATGAATATTAAAATGTTAACAGTTTTTCATGGGATTTTTGCCTTTTTCATGGCCCTGAGACCATGAAAATGTCATCAATTTACCCATGCAAATCCTGTAAAAATAGTGCAATAGGGGTTCAGAAAGGCCAGAGGCGTACACCTAAAGTGACCTAAGTAACCTCCCTCCCAACCCCTTCTTCATGGTCCCTCCTACGAGTGTAAGGATTGATTGTCTCCCCACATCAGCCCTCGGCTAAACAATCAAACTTTGCAATTTATGTTTTTAAAAAGTACAGACTTTATTAACAAACCAACTAAATGTACCCTTTAAATACATACCGCAGTGCTTATTAAATAGTGCATACACGAACAAGAGAGTACCATAACTTGACCTGGAAAAATATTTCTTCTGCACCTACAAAAATATTACTTGGAGTATTTCACCAAAGGTAGAAAAAATGTCCTCTCAGTTAGATCAAAAACTGGAAAAAAAACTATACATTATGTAAAAAGTTACACTACAAAATTTGTATTTCAAAAATGTATAAAAGATAATTTCTTCAAACAATCTTGGATAATTGTAAATGTATATATTTATCCTAGTCTGTTCAAATTGCTTTGAAAGACTCGGTACCATCTATTCCTGAAATTGAATTAATGCCATTACTATTAACACAGCACCAGTGACTGACTTCTGATAACTGATTCCCTCACTGCATTCCCCAAGCATCATTCAAAATAGGAATACTCAAAAGGGTACAATGAAATTCTTCATTCATTCATTCATTCATTCTACAGCAGTCCATAACCTTGTGGTAATCTAACAGATGCAAATATTTACAAATAAACATACATGAATATTAGCAGCCCTGTTTTACATTAAGATTCTATTAAGTATGTATCCACAAATTATGGAGGGCAAGTAAACTTAATTCCAGTCTCTATTCATGATACTTCTCATGGTTAAATCTAAATAAGTTGCAATACATAATGAGTTATAAGATGTTTATATTTGTCACGTCTGCTTAATCTCGATGGCAGTAAAGATGTTTAGATGCATAACTTTAAAAGGACTATATTAATACAAAAAATGTCCAAGAAAAAATTTTCCTTGGCCAGAATCTCCAAGTCTTCTCACCACATGATCATTTGTGACAATAGCTATCATGTAGCAGAGGAATTTTGTGCATTGATAATTTTTTCAGTTTTGCAAGAATCAATGTTTGCCATTGCAGTTGAATGAAATTTTGCCCAAGAGCTTTTTTCGTAATCTTTATGTGAATGTAATAATTTCAAAAACCCTAGAAGGATAAACAAGTATTGCTGTTATTGTGATATAACATCCTCAAACCAACAGAGCAAATAATTAAAATAAAAATCATGTTTTTGAAGTATGCCTACATACACCTATGCCAATTTCCCCTTGTAACAGAATGCAATCAAGATAACTAAGCCTATACCACACACAATAACTGCATGCAAGTGTGTGACTGATGAGGATTCACTGACAATTGGATTCAATTTTATCTATATCTATAAATATATAAACAAATCAACGCTTTGGTCAACCTTTCATTAAATCTGCAGGTACCCAGCTGGATAAGGTTACAACTCACTTTCCCATACATGAGGGAGCTGTTGAAAAGTGAGTATCACAATTTATCAAACATTTCTTTGAGTTGGGGTACTTTAATTTCACTATGATCTTTAGCTGCAAAGTTACCTTACTAACAAAAGATGCATGTCTGTTTATAAGAACAATTTCCTTGTGGTTTGGAACCAAAAATTGACCTACATGTACAACCTTCTTAGAAGTGTGATATGTTTGTATACAAAAATAGATTACAGTATAAACCAAAGTAAAAAAAAATCATAGTTTACTCTACAAATTTCTTAAAGTTGCTAACGATTAATGTAGTTATTGTCATATTTCATGAAATCCACCACACAGAGGATATGTTTGGAACACTTCCCAAATAAGAAATTAATAGTATACACACAGATTGATTACATCAACCATTGATATATTTGCAGGTTTTGCTTTCAAAGACAATTCCTGCATTTAGCACAAAAAAAGTTATATGAATTGAAAGCCTTCATGCTTGGTTCACTGTACTTGACAACACATTGGTGATGACAACCATGATGCAAACTTGTGGAGTGCCAATTTAAATTTATCTTCATGCTGTGGTGCTTAGTTTTGTGCTTGACATTCTTGCAGGAGCTGGAGGAGTCCTGAAACAAAGGTAAATACAAAGATAGTTTAGACCTTAAACAACACAATTGTAGTATACTAAGTTAAAGGAATTTATAAAGGCTGATAGTTTCGAAAGAAACTGTTTGGGGCTGCTAGCTACCCCTATTTATTCCAAGGTTTAATTCTGTATTGTATGGTAAACACTCTCTTAGATATCTTGGACCATTTCTATGGAACAAATGAAAAAAAAAACATCACTGAAATTAGTAGCCTTTCTAGGTTTAAGTTCCATATTAGACGTCAGGATCTTACTGAACTTATAAATGGTAACAATTGCTCTGCGTGCTTGATTTGTACCTCTTAAGTTATATAATCTATAGCTTATTCTTATCATTAATTAGGCTATTCATCTACGTTGCTCCACGTGTGTAATTTGTACCTCTTAGGTTATATAATCCATAGCTTATTTCTTATCATCAATTAGGTTATTCAGGTACATTGAGTCCCCAATAAGCCTCAGCTAAATACATTGACACATGAATAAAGTTCATCATCATCAACTTGTTGATCTGGTATTAAACAGCACCATATCTTTGTATTTAGGTGTTGATCAACTACCAAGCAAGTTCTTCATTTTATGATTCAGAAAAAAATTTACTTTCTCACCAGTTAGCTGGAAGGAACACTGTTGGCCTCCCAATAAACCCCTGGGGAGCATATGGTATCCACTGATCAGGGTATGGGGCTTGTACTTGAGCGTAACTTGCTGGGGGGAACTGGCCTGTCATATCTCCTGGGATCTGACCTTTAGTGAGAGTACTCACGGGAGGAAGTACATAACCAGGGGCTGTGTTACCAGCTGGGGGTGAAGTAGCCTGACCAACATCACCTGCACAGAGAAACAGAGAAAGGACCCAAAATTAGATATAAATATGAACATCAATGACCTATTTTCAGGGCCACTGATATTGATCAACACTATTTACAGAAATGAATTTATGCATTCAACTTGGTAGTCTGACAATCATGTGTATCAGTAAAACAACATTTCTTTTCCTCTTACACAACCATTTCACAAAATTCTCACGTCTTTGAACTCGTATTGATTACCATGACCATTTGTTCAGATAAACACTTTAACTACATTGAGAATGCAAAAATATGAATAAGTTCTTACCACCACCACTTGTAATGACACGCTGATACTGTATTTGGCTACCTAAAGATGACAAAAATGAACATAGCATCAACAAAACATTTTACTCTAAGATCCCAAGAAATGTTTTGCAATCATTTGGGCAGGAAATGTGTCATAAAATGTACACCAGTTTAGAATGATTCAGTGTCGTAATCAGCATGCAGAGTCAATTTCTACCAATCGCAAGTTTGGATCGAGTTATGAAAAGAGTACTTAATTAAGAAATTGACAAATAAACTAATGTTTTTAATTGAGTATAACTTGGCTGAGTGTTGAGTTGAAAGGCCACTCAGTAGCATTCCAGTGCGCATCTTTATTAGAACCCAGCTTCATCAGTGACCTGATTTTAGGGGGTCAGGGCTACTGTAAGAGCTTTCACAAGCACAGTGTTTTACAAGTTGCCTGAAGACAAAAGTAAGTTGCCTTTAGCACTCTGACTCTGAAAGAATATTATCCTTTTTCTTGATAGTTGTGGGTGAGTAAGTGTATGTGTGAGTTTTTTTCTTTTTTTTTTTTTAACAAAAAAGGCATGGAGATTAGTGCATCAGGCACTAGCAAACACGTAGAACACTTAGTAGTAGGTATTAAAAAGAAAAAGCTTACGTGCTGCATAAGAGGGTGAAGTTGTCATAACACTTTGGCCAACAGTAGAATATCCAACTGACGAACTGTTACTACTTATTGGCTGTGACTGGGTGTGGTCACTAAGACGCATGGTGTACCCCTGCCCATTGGACATGGGATGAGAGGCTTGCACTAGGTTGCCACTTGGCACGGCAATGAATGTTGGACTGTGTGTTGGCACTCCTGAGGATCGCATCATGTCATAAGATTGCTGTTGAGGTGGTGCAGCCAGGTTTGGGATGCCCATGGTGGTATGCATGGTTGTCAGGCTAGGATCTGACACTGGTTTCAGTTCAGTCAATTCTGCTTTTACTGGAGCATCCTGTCCACAACAAATAAGCAACAATTAGCCTACATCCACTAGAGACAAGCAAAACATTTAACTACCAAAGAAAAGGGACGAAAAGCAGTTGTTGAATACTTAAGCAAGTCTTAAAGTTTACACTGACTGGAGACTGAATGCCTCTTAATCAATGCAATTAAAACAATTAGCTGAACAAAGTGGTTCAATTTATGAAGAAAAAAAAAGTAGGGGTACTGTTTTCTGCAAATAATGACAAGAAAGGAAAAACAATGCCAAGAGAGAAATGAAACAGCACCATCCATTTTTATACAATAGTCCATTTTACAGTTGTGTGCTTGGTTGCCAAGCATGTGAATGGGAGTGAGGCTGAGGGTGACCTCATATTAACTAGATACAGGTCTCTATCATGACAAGGTCACCTTCAGCCTCACCCCAAATCAAAGGCTTGGCAACTAAGTACACAACTGTAATTTCCATGAATCATTTCCCTGGGGTGGTGAATTAGGGTTTTGGGTCTTGTAGCTCTTGTCAACTTTAACACTGGTTTGCTCTAAGCCTTAATTTTTTCTGCCACATTTGACCACCTAATAATACCACTGATTGTTTCTAGTGTATTCTTACTGGAATTTTAAGTTTTGGGCTTTTACTTTTTCACAAATAAACGTCCACTTTTTCTCCTCTCTTTGAGCCCACAATTTCTCCATCACATACAAAGTTGTGACAACTTACGTCATGTACTTGACTGTACTGATGTGAGTGAATGTTGTCATCTTGAACTGGGGTTGGTAGGTTCAAGGGAGGACTGATAACAGTGGTAGGGTATCCATTGGCTGTGTTAATATAGGTTGTCGGCACAGTCTGGGCAGGGCTTGCAGCCGTAGGACTACCAAGAGGAGGCAGTTTTTCTTGCTTCCTCCACTTGGCTCGTCGATTGGAGAACCAAACCTACAGATAAGAAGAGGGAATAAAAATCTGGGGCACAGCAACTGAAGAGGACAGAAAACTGATGACAAGAAAAGACACAAGGGAACAGTAGAGTAGAGACCACTGACTTAGTTTAACCAGATTTGCAATTTATAAAGAGGCTCTACAGAAAATAAATAAAAGTGTTGATTTGAGATCAAAATTTTTGGTAAGGTAGAAAAAATGGATTATTTATATAGCAACAAAGTATAAATCATAATCCAAAGGGAAATTATCAGCCTCCAGAAGAGAATATTTTGCACAAAGCTGTAAAACTATAATGACTAAAATCAGTGTTACTGGTTAAACATTTCTCATACAAGACTATACAACAAAAAAAAAGTAACTTGCATAGACATATAAGAGAAATTAGAACAGGTTAAATCCATCACTGCTAAGCTGGAAAGTCAATATTATGCTGAAGTTAAATGAAGGTGAAATTAAAGAAAAAGGGAGTTACAGATGCAGAGGTCCATATTGTAGGTTATGGACCAAGAAAATAAGGAAAGTAAGATATTTTTTATATCTCAGGGTTCAAATAGAAGGGAAAGATTTCAAGTTAAAAAAACCTTTTAGTTCTGTGAGCTGTAACATGAGATACCGCCTGCTAAATTGAAAGATCACTACGAAGCCAAATGGATTTTTCTCTTTTTTTTTTAGACTTAAAAAACATCACAAATAACTGATACTGTTGTGTTGTAAAATATTTAGATCAACAGCTCTTAACAAAACTTCTCCATACTGATTTCTATTGTTGACAAACGAGACACAAATTTTAAATAAATTTGTCAGCCTTCAAATTTGTTTTACAAGTCGTACCAAGGACATACTCTCCACAAAAACAGACAAAATCCCAGTTCTTTAGAAATTGGGGAAATTATAGTACTGCATCATTTTAAGACCCTTTTCCAGCATTAACAGCAATGACTTTAGTACCTGAATCCTTGCCTCAGAAAGATCAACATCCTGCGCAAGCTTTTCACGAGTAAACACATCTGGATAGTGTGTTTTCTCAAATGTCTTTTCCAGTTGTTCAATCTGTTCCCCAGAGAAGGTAGTGCGCTGGCGGCGTATTATCTTACGACCATGAATATCTGTCGGTGAAGTTGCGTCCCCTTCTGCCTGTACTTCCTCTTCAGAATGACTCCCTGTCAAGACAAATGTAGTGAAATAAAATTATATAGGAAACTTCTTATGTTGAAGAAATACAGCACAATTTTTCACAAGGCATTAACAGCAGAACATCTTGCAACCAGACATAAGGACAAAATTTTTGTAAAGCAATGGTCTCACAAGATCTGTAAACACTGGTTTAAGTACAAACTTAACAGCTTTCAACCCTTTACTCCCCCCCCCCCTTCCCATGAATGACTAAGACAGAATTTCTCTTAGAACATAGTATCAAGCAGACAAGTAATGAGAATAAAGAAAATTGTCAATTAAGGGATTATTTGTTGATCCAATACCAAATTCTCTAAACTAGCATCATAGGGATTGCAAAGTACACAGTAAGGAGAATCACTGATGAGATCTTGTGAGTAAAAGAGATAAAGTGATTGGTAACACAAATATTCAGTTGGACTTCTTATTATGATAATGTGCTTCTGACTGGCTGAAAATGAATTAATTTTTCATGTAACTTGAGTGCAAAGTTGTAACACAGGTGCAAATTACAAACAGCATGTGCATGTGCTGTCAAAATTTCATCTCTCTTGACTTCCTGTCATGCTTTTTTCATGTAAATTAATAAAAAGTAAGAACATGATTTCTCATGTAATTTGTAGTAAATAAACACTTGTAAATTTGAAAAAAAAAAAAATGAAAAATTTACTTGTACTTATTGACACCACACTGCACTAGTTATTATGTTATTACCTATACTAATTCATGATACTGATATCATTTCACTTTTTGGGAGAATTATCATAAAAATCAAGCAGTCCCAAAAATTAAATAAATAAATTACAAAAATCTCTTCACTTAAAAAACTGTTCAGCCTGATTTCTCAATAGACATCTATTATGAAAGAAATGTTTGGTGGACTGCTGAAAAAAAATCTTTTTTGGGAGTGTAGCTTTTTATTTCAATCACTTACATGAAACAGGTGACCTATCTGATTGACATAGATTATTTACAGACTGCAAATTTGATCTTAATGAACTAAATTATTTTTGGCGTTTAAACAGATACGATACGGAGAAATAAGAACAAAGGATTAATTATTGTTTTATTCAAGGCTCCAAATTTGATAAGTTTTGCTGTGAGATTCAAACATCGCTGTTTAAATATTTTACAAACTGTGGTTGTTAACTTTAAAAGCAATATTTTACCCATCGAAGGTTTACTACCGAGGTTTGAAGGTCTTCCTATGACGGCTACAATTCTCAACAAAGCCTCACATACTCCCAATTTCTCTCTAGTTTATCAGCTGAATGAGGAAAACAATTTCTGTCCAAACGAAGATAAATTTTGACAGTCGAAAGGTTGTGTAAACAAATTTTCGCGCGCGCGCCAAGAGTGTAAATTGCAAAGGATGAAACGCATGTGCAGAAGGTCAACGTAAGGGTATAGGGTTTCCTCTCGATAACTCAAGATTCCATCACACAACTTCAAACTACGAATTAAAGACAAAACATACCTGTGCTTTCTGTACTCTCGACCGAGTGCTTCCTCTTGCTGGATGGAACAGAATTCGCTTGATGAGGCCCCATTCCGAGAATTCCGCTAATAGAATACGAAGTCCGCGGCATATGAACACCGCTTTCAACTTTCACATCTCCACCGTTAGAGACTTCGTCTTTTGTTGGGCTCATTTTATCGCCACTGTTGATACGATTTCTTACAATTCTGTTTATAGAGCTGACACTGGGAACATTGTCAGTTGAGCATACACCTTCACTCAGTAGTCGATCCCGAATCTCCCAAGCGAACATAGTTGGATTTGCTCGCTTGTAGTCTGCGATCTTATTAACGACGGGACCTGTTGCTACCTTGGGCTTGCTTCCACCGATAACACCCGGCCGAATCGAACCAGTCTCGTAGAATCTGCACAAAATCTTGCTCACACAACCGTGAGAAACCCTCAACTGCCGCGATATGTCACATGGCCGCACTCCGCTCTGAGCCAACTCAACAATTCTCTGTCGAACAACATCAGGTAGTGGCCTTCCATTAACGAACAACCCTCCGAGTTGGTTAACCCCTCCGTGTCCTACGAAGCAGTAAAAATGCGCTCAGGTTGTATGTTCGGGTTTGCTTTGCTACTGACTACAACACTTATTAACTACCTTGCTTCGTGGTGTGAGCCATTCCGGGCGACCCGTCGATCCGTGTGTATTTTTCCTTTCCAAAAATCACTCAGGCGCTTCGAGCTCAGTCAGGCGTTACTAAACACTGTCACCGGCCGCGTAAGCGAAAACCTGTGAAAATCAAATAAAGAGCACAAATACTATCAGATTTCTGCTGCAGATCACTGGAGCGTTTCGGGCAAAGCGTAAACCAGACAGCACAAAGGTTCAATCCCGCATCGCCTTGTACCTACCGCCCTCGTGCTTTCGGACGTGAAACTTACAAATAGAACGCACCTATCAATTCCTTAGGTACAGAATATTGCAACGAACCCGACTCGAAACTGATTGACAGATTTCTCCCAGCGAAATTTTTGATTGGTCCGTTGAGAAATGTATTGTTCTGTTAACCCAATTTAGGTTACCACAATACAATTGCATAACGACAATTCTGTCACTCATCAAAAGCTCAATAAAATACATTACCTCTTCCCAGCCAACTATTTCCCGGGGGATTTCAAGGTTGAGTCGCAGTGGTCTACGACTAAAGTTGGGTTTTTTTCCGCACATATTGCGGGACTAGTTCTAGCCTTAAATAGTGCGGTGTTATTTCAAGCTGATCGTTTGCTACGAACGAAATAGCATGCGTATTTCCTGTTTGTTGGTGCGTCGAGATTGTTCGTAATACGCTAGCATAATTAGGTTGCGCGGTTGTCAATGATTTTTTACAATAGCGCCTTTTCTTGCTGTGAAGGAATCCACATTCGAGGAGAAAGACGAGGGGTGTTAAATGCAGCAAAGTGTGACTGATTTTTTAGCTATAAACCTAAAATTCACTCTACCGTATCAGAGTACTGCCTTAACTACAACAGATAAAGCTAAAAACGGAAGCAAAGTTATACCGAACGAAACTTAATACTAAACAAACTGAAAACAACAGTTGTGGAATTCTTATTCTCTAGAGCTCTATTGAAATCATCTCTTTGTGTATTAGATGTTTTAATAACGTCCCACAAAGCTTCTTATTTCAATTTTTTTTTTACATTGAAGCTGGGCAATGCATTTGCATCTCTTTGACGAAAAATCTTTTGTTATTTACCGGAGGAAAATGTCTTAGGCGACTGACGGGCTCTAGAAGCTACTTAACACCGATTGTTGCGTTTCGCTTATTTGCTTTTCGCGTAATAAATGATTTGTCCACTTTTGCCGATTCATTGCCAGATTAAAGTCAGTGGACGATGCAAAATTTCATCCCACCTCACGTTACAACGCAGAGTTGTTTTCATTTGCAATGCTGACTGTACAGGATACTTCTCGCATATCACGGTGTGATATAGGCACTTTTATTGAATTGTTTTTCATCTTGGCCCAGTAACCAAAGCGTAATAAGACCTTTTGACTTCTAATTTTAAAATGTGCATATGATGCAGCTATGAATATTTATAACGAGATGGGGCGTGAGGTGAATTTTTAAGGAGCTGTTAAGTTGTTAACAAGGCAACAAATGTCACTTGATATCTTTAGAGCCTCCTGGTTCATCACAGACGGAATGTAGCCTCTTCGAGAACCATGGGGAAGGAAGCGGTTGGCCTTTAGTAATGACTTCGTTAGAGAGATATTTTTGAGAAACGAAATAATGGCTTCAGGCGACGATCTCTTTTTTTTCGATTAGTGTTGTGCATAATAATTAAGTGCGATTACAACGCAGATATTAACACGTTCTAGACTATTTACAGGCATTTCACTCCACAAGTGGCCGAGTTATGTATTGTCGATGCGACATAAATATCGAATCACGATTACACAGTTGTTTAGTTCGATTTCCTTCAAACAGCATGGCGCGAATTTTCGTTAAATGTATGACGTCATCACATTGGCATTTTCCGTTTTGCTTGCAGAAGCGAAGGATCAATGCCCTGTATTTTATAGTTTTGCTATTGAAGTTTTATTATGGCGAACACGATAACATGGCTGCTCGCCCCCAGATGAACACATGTCTAGACTGTGGAATACGATAGTTTCCATTAATCCTTATGTAACTGAATGTGAGATTTAATGGGCTGTTGATTTTGACCGCTAACATAGTAATATTAAACATCAGACTCCAAAATATTCATATTCTACACCTGTTTTCTCTAACGTACAATCGGATTGGCTTTACTTAATTCTTCCTCAAAGATTTTAATAGTTTCTTACCAATTTGGTTGAAATTTCAAAGACGTGACTTTGCCACTTTTTCACAATTTGCATAAAGTATTGGAATTTTAAAACCAATCGTTAGTAAGTGATTAAGCCCTAAGGCCAGATTCAAATGGTTTCACAGATTAAGAAATCTTCCAGCTGCAGTGGAGTAAAATCTTGATAAAAAATGCTTCTAAGTAAGGGAAATTTGTGATTCATTGATCTTTAGCGGAAAGGGGTTTGACCTTTGAAATGGAAAGCAAGTTTAAAGAGGTCCTTCATTGGAACGGAAACCGCGCAAGTGGCTTTTGCACGCAAGAATGATCGGCGGAGAACACGAAATCAAGAGAGCATTGCTTCTTATAACGATCTATTTGCGAGATGTTTAGAGATAAAACACAAATTTGAAGTATCGTGAAATCCTTCTGAACAAAATGTCCCCAACTGAAACAAAATCATTCAGTTCATTTGAATTTTTTTTCGATTGTTTTATGAAATTACTCCTTTATCAGGTTTTGAAGCAAACTCTGTTGCTCTGATGATGCGAATATTAAAGGAAGTGACATACAAAACTTGTTAGAAGTTTAAAAAAGGGGAAAAAAAACAGGAGGAAAAACAATAGGCGTTTGGTCAAGTTGCGCGATATAGAACAGATTTGCGGATAATCTCCGCCATGATGTGAATGAAGACATGTTCAAATGTTTCTCACGTTCTATATCTCTCCTCTGGAATTATCTCTTCATCTTCCCCATACTTCAGGTAACGGAAAGACACCCATATTGAAATCAATTTCGACTGGTAATCCTGCAACTGCTCTTTAACAATCAAAGTTTAATTGTGGTTCATTCAAGACAGAGTGATTGCATCACCAAGCAACTCCCTCGGAAAGCTCTAGAATAAATTAGTTATTTCAAGTTCTTCTTGATTAAATTTTCTATCGCGTTCTTAGTCTTTAGAAAGGCGAGGAAAGGCGAGGAGCGGCAGTTTTAGGTCTGTTCAGGGTTTAGTTTCCTCATTGTAGTTCAACTTCACCACATTCCACTGAAAGATCAGACTGGCGGTTCGTTTGTAACACACTTCCTTAGTTTGTATTTTCAACTTGACTGACTTGCGGTTCATCTTTAGGATGTTTTACGGGTTCCTATCGCGCGCGACTGTGCTCATTTTACGCATCGAAATCAGCAGTGAGAGTTGACATGGCTGTTGCATGCTTCAATTTCCCAGAGCAGTGATGTGTGGAAATAAAAATCAAATAGTGTACAGGCGTTTTCTCTGTGAAAAGTCAATTCGGTTTGTTTCCTACTTATTCGCGAGAAGATAACGCTTGCCGTTACCTGCAATCAACTGTTTAAGTTGAATCTTAGACCAACTTGCATAGACAGAAAGAGCAAAGTCGCCCGCACGAAAAATTCCGTGAGGTTTAGCTCCATTTCTAGTTATCTAATCTCTTCCCTTGAGATTCTGATGACTGGGTTTCTTGGAGCGGTACATCAAAAAAATACTCGTGGCTGTCTAAGTTTCATCGACCTAACCAGCTTTGGGCTCCCCCATTTTCTTTAACGATCCTTGTTTTTTGTTGCAATAATCGAATTACGATGTATTTATTCGTTCATCACAGCTCACTGGCTTATGCCTATCCCAACTTCACACCTCACTCGAATGAATCCGTGTTAAACCAATGAACCAGAAATGTACAACAAAATCGACTGACTCCGTTTTACCACAACTCACCAAGTGGTATTTCAGCTCATCGGATATCGCTTCTCGATACGGAACGACGGTTCGGCTGTATGTGTGTGTATCTCAGTCGCATCAGACGCGAAAGCTTTATTCCAAAGCTGTCTTCCTCAATATTTACGCAATAAACAAGCGCTCGTGGCCAGGCGTCAGAAAAGATTTGTGGACGAAATTGTTTGTTTGCGAGAGACTTATCACAACTATAGTCAAGCTTGACATAGCAGCAAGACATGCGAGACAAATCGTTGAAAAGAACGCAGTCAGCGCTAATTTCTCTCCTATAACTGAAAAGTTTTCGAAACTAAGCATGTCGAAAGCACAAAATTCCTTCACAGCGTATAAAGAAACAAATCAGGCATCACACCGATAAAAAATCTTAACATATCTCTCTAATTGTTTAAGTACGCTGAGAGAAAGCGAACATAGCAAGCTATATTAAAAAGGGCAGAAAAAATAGCAGGGTACTTTACCTTCTAAGCGAATGTGCTCGAGTCGGTTGGCTCCCGCAAATAATATTCTTGACAAAGATATAAGAAGTTTGTAAAGGGTTTGCCAATAAATAGGAGCCCTAGAGTGGCCGTCCTTTGTTATGTATATTAGATGGCTGATTAACCAGTTCGTAATATACTATACTAATGTTTTTTAGCCTCGAGCGATTCGGCGTCAAATGCATGGGCTTCGACCACGGCAACTTCTGCTAAGGTCAATTCTGACGGGCAGTATCAGTCACTAGAATTACCAGCTCGTTATTTTTTATTAGTGAATTCTTTAAAAGACAAGTTGAGATTTTCAAGTTTAGTTAAGTTCGAGGGGGTTACGTGCATGCGTCGAATGACTTTTGCAATCTATTTTTATGAAAGTTGAATAACGTTTTCTCTATGCTATTGACGTAGTTGTGACCACTGTTGTTTTCCGGAACAAAAGACGAAACATCTCGCCGATGGTGAGCATTCCTTGCTTTTAGCATTCACTGAGTGTTTTCTCTTTCCTTCACAATAAACGCAAGGTGTTTCAGGCTTACTAGCATCTGCAGATTGATTTTGCTAAGCTTAAAATAAATACCGAAATGCAGCACATTGTTCACTTCTTTATAGCATGTTTACGCCTGATTTCCAACGCTGAATCAAACTACGAGATGCCTCAATATTACCACCAAGTCGAAATGGCTTTTCAATTGACTAACAGGCTTCTCATTGGTCGATCGATCTGCAAAGAATTAACAAAAAGCCGACGCGTTCCGTATGAGTGTAGGAATGAGCGCGTTGTTTTCGATTATATCTGCTTCTGGGTACATTCCGCAAATTCACTACTCGAGGGTAGTTTGTTTGTTACACATTAATTTCCTCTTAGTTCATGTTAAGCTCGCCCCAGCTATTGTCAGTGTGAGGTAAATGCCAGCCGATAGCATTTTAATTGCTTCAGCTATTAATGTGATGGATAATTTTTATTTTGGCAACGTGCAGTCCTTCTTGTTTGTAAGAATAAAAGAGCTTTGATGGTTTCCTATAGTTTGAATAGATTGTTTTTTTTCCCAAAATTCCTTAACAGCTCTCTGAAAACCTCAGCAATATGGCTACACTAGGTACATTGATTGACGATGAGTTTGAAGTGTTGCTCAGTGATAAATTTAGGTAATTTCCTTCCAAATGATTTGCTAATAAAATGCATTTCTTGTTTTGCTTCAAAAGGATAAGGAAAACCATTTATTGTCAAGTGCACGCCGATAGAACTTGTTGTAATCTGCTGAAATGCAAGTCGGCACAAAGGTAGACTTATGAGTAGGCGATTCGAGTGAGTGAATTTTACCCTTCAACAGTAACTCGGAGCGCACAAGACCTTAGATACTGGTCCTTGTAAAAAACATCGTTTAAGTTGTTTATGAAAGTATATTGAACTAGCTTAAATTCTAGAGCTTAATGTCTGGTCGCCGTAAACAAACTTCCTTTAAAGCCTCGATGAAGACCACCTTTTGAAAGTGGAGAGCTATGTCTAACGCTTATCCAAAATGTTGTATTGTTTGTCTGGTTCTGAAAGGGGTCGAGACTTAAAATTTAAAATGTTGGACTTGATAAACTTTGTTAAATTCAAGAGTTTTGCAGTTAACTGGTTACTTTTAAGACCGCGGCCCTTGACGGATGCGTGAGGCGGTTGTGATCCTTCACTGCGCCTTAAATTGTACAAATTACCTGGTATATAGACCCTTATATAAACAAACATGAAGCGAATTAAGCTCGCTGAAGGATTTATTTGTAGTAAGGATTCACGCTTTGCTAACCAACCTCGTAGCGTCAACTGCTAACTGCTAACCCTCGTAACCGAGAACTTTGTCTTTACGACAAAGATGAACCAAGCCTTTATCGAGAAGCAGAGAAACAAAAGAAAAGAAAAAAAAGTGAACGTCGCAATGTTTTTATTGATTGTGCATAAACAGCGGAAGTTTGAGTCGAGTTGCTTTTTTTCCTTCTTATGACGAAGCATTTGGCAGAGAAGCTTCATGATTCAACGAGCTTGTCTGATATGGGTGGACAAGCACTTAACAATACCAGTCTCGCTTCTATGATTTTCATGGCACACTCTGCTAATGCTCTGTTGAAACCGTTGAAAGGCAAAATTGATTGCTAGGATATGCTTGATGAATGCGCAAAGCTTGCACAATGCCGGCGAGTTTTTAGGCTTGCGGATCACGCGAAGAACTGGGCGTCGTTCATTTACGGAAAGTTCGACCAAAACAAGCTCTATTATGAAGGGTATCATTTACGTTTATATCGGTCATGTGACAGAACAATGATATATGGGGTTGTTATTTAATGGGTTTCTCATGCGTCAAGCTTATGGGCTCTGATTGTTTTGGTTGTCATGGTGATTTAAAAGACGAGAAGGGCGTCATTACGGGCGGATAAGTGTCATGCACATAAATTTGAGGTAAATACACGAGTACACGGATCGATATTAACAAACACGTAGACGAAATGGACATTTAATGGTTTTCAAGTAGAATATACTTGAACAACTATTTCAATTTCCGTCATAACTGTGAATTGCCCCTATGATAGCTACCGGTTCCTTGTTGTTTCGTGAAATCTTCTTACTATACGTGACCCTCCTTTCTTCTACGTTTCCATCCACCCACCTGTAAAAACCCAATTTGAAACGACGTCGAGAAAAATATTAAAAATTCTTATTTCAGGTAAAAACTGGTTTGGTAGTAAAGGAATCAAGCTGAAAAAGCAACTGTTTAAAAATTTCAGTGCTTGATCTTCAGTGGGTCGTGTTTCCCTCAGTCCTGTCCCTCGAATTCGTTACACTGGTACAGGTGTTGATTTTTTGGTTTAGTTTAAAATCCTTAGGGCGTGAAATACATAGAGTAACTTTGTGTTCATAAACACTATCTCAAAGGACAGGCAAGTGTCTTCACTTCGCGACTACTTCTTCGATTAAGGAAGCAGAGAGGTTGCATATGGTTCTAGACAAATTTTGATCGCAGCTGTTTTCAGCAGCGGATTTGGTCAATAAACGTGGTATTGTCGCAAAATATAACCCGCTTTGTGACTTGTGTCAAATACATTACGCATTTGTGGCAAATCTGCGTAACGTGTGGTTAAACACGGAATCCTGTTCAGAGAGCTAACCAACCGGTGAAAAATTCATATGTAACAACTTTGGCCAAATGTATTAAAGAAAGAGTGGTAGCGTCATTAAAATTCCTCGTTAAAATGAGCAGTCGAAGAAAATTAAAAACTTAGGCTATCGATGAATTGGATAAGCGCTACACGCCATTCATTGTTCCTTTGTCCTCTTTCCTTCTCATTGTTTTGTTCTTGTTTGTTTTCCTTTTCTTGATCACCAATTATTATTGTTAAGTTTGTTAGAAGTCTCAAGAAAATTTTGGAGACCATGAAAGATGAGAACGATGCCGATGCCAGTTAATCATTAACCGGTTCGAAAGCTTGGACATTTCAAAACAGTTATCTTTAATGACGGTGCAACGTAATAAAAAAGAGTGTCACTGAAGAGCCGCATGATGATCCTAAATCGTAGAATTATGAAATCAAAGCAAACTAGGTGAGTGCGATAGAGAAAACTGAATAAAACTGATCATCTTATAACTTCCCACACGGTTTTCCCTTTAAATCCTTCCCAGTACACTTGTAGATTTGTGAATAGTTTTTTCAATAGTGTTTCGACAAACGTGACTCAATTAAGTGAATCTCTCCTCTATTTTTTAGAAGTCGTGATAACCGTCAAGAGTTCGTGCGCGATGAATTACGTGTACCGAATCGCTAAAAAGCGAATATGAAAGGAAATGCAATTATATACCACGTATAATTACAAATCACTTTTTTTTGTTTTTTTTGTTTGTCTATTGCTCATTGCTTTTTTGTTATTTAGTGGTAATAATGTAAATGAAACCAAATTTAAGTGCTACAAATACACACGACTCTTAAACTTTGGACGCCAGTTCACAGATTCCCGAAATGCCACTGCGTTCCCAGTTAATTATTCATTTCCTGACAAAGATGACGATTACTGCGCATTCGTACGTAGTTCCCATCAGATAACCCTTAACTCAAGTTAGACCATTATGCTTCGTATATGGATACTAAATAGGTATAGAAAGCCGTGCAAGAGCGTCTCTATGGGATTAGCCGTTGGCCGTAAAAAGTGACAGATTTTAATCGAGAGTTGTTGAATAAAAAAAAGGTTTAAACTTTCTGCTTTCTATAATGCGTAACTTAGAAACTTTCAAATACTTTAAGTATCTTATTAGACTTAAAAAAGTGTCTTGTGGCCAATGCACGAAAACACAAAATTACTCTTTGTCGAACCAAAAGCAGCTAGAATAGACGACTTTCATAAATGGCTGCTGGATTAATATATTTTTGTTTAAATTTAAATTAGCCCTTCTGGCCTCGCTTGAGATAATGTATTCTTTTGAATTTTGCACTGGAGAACGAGGCCAGAAGGGCTAATTTAAATTTAAACAAAAGAATATTAATCTGGCAGCAATTTATGAAAGTGGTCTATTACCTTTGTTTCTTGGCTCTTGAGGCAAAAGCGAGCTAGTGAATGACTGAAATTAGTTTTCAAGCTTTCTATTAACAGAAACAGAAATAAATTAAACATAAGCCGTAAAATGGCAAAAACATTAACCGTTAGCAAGCCATGACCATAATAAAGGCTCCATGGAGATCCCCGTATAAATATTATCATTCTTATGGCTGAAATTTGTATTCATTCATTTATTCATTAATCTATTTTAAGCAAGAAAACAAGAACCAATCTTTCTCGTTTTCAACCAAAAGATAAAACCAGGTAAAAAAGGTAAAAGAAAACGTTATGATAGAGCACTTTTCGATTGAGTGTCAATCAAAGTTATGTCCAATCAGAAGAAAGGATAGCACCCTTAGAACAAATAGGAACCCAAAGTAAAACAAGCACACTGCCCAAAGCGCGGGAAAACGCGGATGACCACATCGTGATCGGTTTTCATTTTGCATCTGATTGGTCGAGTGAGAGGCGTGAGTTTTTTTTGGACCAATCACAGAGCGGAGTAAAGCAAAACCAACTCAATCCCGCATTGCCAGCTACCAGGAGTAACTTTGTATTTCCTTTCTTGGACGATGCTCAATGACAGGCACATCGACGAAATTAAGCAAAAAACTGAAAATCACGTGCTACTGTCAAAGGATTTCAAAGGATCCTTCGCTTTTCAGGTCTCTGTGATTTATGGAGTAGTGTTTTTTTTTTGTCATTAAAAATCTTCAACTTTTACTGAGATATCATAGATGTGATCTGTGCTGTTTCGGTTTCTGTTCTTCACCCTGTCATCTCATTTGTTCTTGGATCCTAATCTGGAGCTTGCCTTACTAATCATGTATTCGAAATGTGTGTTCCAATTACACATATTGTTACAAAGAATTTGGGGCCAGCGGTCCGTTTACGTGGTGGGGTTCAGTCCCCTCCCGTCAACATATATATTGTAGTGTTCGCGCGTAAAGCTTCTTTATGTTACGTAGTTTGGTGTTGTTTGTCTTTAAGCTGCGTCTCGCGTTATTTCATGATCCAAACCGTCAGGTGTGTTTTATGTTTTCATTTCGCCGCGTTTATATCGTTTATTATTTTGTTTATGCCATTTATTTTCCGTAGTTAGACTTAGTGTAATTTGATTTTGTTATAGAAACCACTGGTCGAGAAATAAACGTATATGGTTGGGATAGCCATTGAGTGATGTTACCGGTGCGTACGTTACACAGATGCTCGCTGAAAGTAACACCCAATGGTGATGTGAGTTCTTCCTTCCTTTCGTCAATTCTACAGATTGGTTCAGGGAGTGGTTTGATGGTCTTATCACGAACCACCATTTCCCATATCATTTTAAGGTTTACGGTCATTCGATTTTCAGCAGACCAACTTTGGGTGTTTTGGACTTTGCCTTAGGATGAATCAAAACCAATGGATCTAGTAGGAACACTTGGCTCAATGTCATCAGCATACTACTTTAAAAGAAGGATTTGGTTGGATACGCGGCTGTAATATCGTTAACCAAAATAGAGAACAAGACTGGTCCCAGGACAGTCCCTGTGGCACCATTTATTGATATCAACAAGATTAATTGATAATCCATCTGCAACAACTCTTTGCTTTCGGTCACCGAGAAAGCTTATCATCCAGTCATTGTTATTCGGATTAATAGCATGCGACTTCAGCTTGTTACATACTATCTCATGTGAAACTGAGTCGAGGCTTTCCTTGAATTGAAGGAGAACACCGTAACGAATGCAGCGTCCTTGTCCAGCCACTTTGACTAAAAGTGCTGGTGGGCCATGATCGTGTTGTGTCCGTCCTTATAGGCAAACTGATCAGACCGTATTTGCGACCTGAGAACAGGGGACCATTTGAGCGCTCTGGGCTTCGATTCTTCTTCAACAAACATAAGCTGACGCGCGTTTTTGCACCGAGACAATAAACTCATTCTCTAGGGGGTTTGCCCACTGAGGAGGCAACGACAAGAAGCGCTGAAGCGACAACAGTTGCCAAAACACTTGTTTTGTTGAATGAGATATGTGACGGAGGAGGTTGGACAGAAACTTTCCTGAAAACGGCACCTTGTATGGTTTGCTTTGGACTTATTCCCGCGATATGAAAACGAGCAATGGGAATTTTAAAGATGCCGCTATTTTTCCTCGATAGTGTTACTATGGAAATATTGTCCGTTCCCATTCCTTTGCACAAATTTATCGCGGCTTACAAGCATGCGCTCTCATTTTCCCGCCGTTTCGACTTAATCTTCTCCGAACAACGTATGAAGAGCGTTGGCAGTAATGACCAAGGATCTATCTCAAACTCTGTTACTTCATAGTAGAGTATTATTTTTAATTTTTTTATTTTATTTAAGGATTTGTACCAAGTACTGGAGCAGAAACAATAGGACATGGGTCCCCTACGAGGTTTAAGCTCCTACAAACCCACCCATCCCACCCCAGGGGAGGACATCCATCACACAGTAATCTCGTGCGTGGGAAATTAACGTCTCCTACCCCTAACACTGCAGGAGACGGGACCTCCATTTATTCGTCCCTATCCGAGAAGACTAGAATATCTAACCATTTCTTGATTTTATAGAAAGGTAGCAAATTCTTCTCAATTATTTTAAGCCCCTGAGTGTTGGTCCGGCCGGGGCTCGAGCCCGCGACCTCCCCCAGAACAGTCCAGCGGTCTATCCTATTGAGGTAACCGGGAGGCGGTAAGCTCGCCGGGAGCTAACCGGGAGGCGGTATTACACGTAATGATTACGTAAAAAACGAATCAAGGGAAAACATTAGGTAGAAGTACATGTGAAACGAAGTCGAAGGCAACTTATTCTTTTAACGTCGTTGAAAATATCTCAATCAATATTAGATTTTATTGATCTTTGCCATCACTGTACAAAGGCATTCGTTCTTTGCTTTGCGACGGGTTCAACTCAAGCATTTTAATTTCAGTTGCACTTAGTGGTTTGATTGTAGCAAGCGTTGTGGGTGTAACTGTTGTTGTTTACAACTGGTGGAAAAACAGAGGAAGAGCGAGTATCATTAAATGTTACGTTTAGTTTTGCTTGCATAAGGCAACACTTTTTCACAACAACTACAACGACCACGAAATCTCCCTCTTGCAAGGTTTAAAGGGGTTCCCTTTTCTGCGAAATGGACGAAACATACAATAGAACAAAACGTATGTGTTGATTTTACAATTTCCTTAACCGGAAATTTGAAAAAAAAAAGCGATTATTTTTATTCCAGGTAATTTTGTCTCAAATTCTTGGAGTAGCCTGGAATATTTTGGGTTTTTTTTGATGTTTATTTCTTTCTCTTCATTCTAAAACTTTTTAACGCAGACAAAAACTGTATCATTACAACAGTTTTGCACTTTTTTCGATGAATACTGACAAGTCAAAGATAGCAAAGTATCAGACTACAACATGAACAAAAGCAAAGCAGTTCGCTCATCGGAACTGATGAATATCGTCGATAAGTTGAAGCTAATGTTTTAGTATGTTCTCCAGCCCAAGCTGAGACTCATTAGGTCTTATGACATGGTTAAACCAGTTGTGCACGGAAGATAAAGCAATTTTTTTTGAGAAACTGAGTGTCGAAAGTAATCCGGGATTATTATTATTATTTTTTTTACTTTACTTCGCTTTGTGATTGGCCCAGAAAACTCGCACCGCTCTCTCTTGACCAATCAGTTACAAAGCTAAAACCAATCGCGACTTGGTCGCCTGCGTTTTCCCGCGCTTTAGGCAGTTTGCTTGTTTTCACTTTGAGCTCTCATTGGCTCTTAAAGATATTTCCTTTCTTCTTCTCTCTGGCTGTTGTAATTATTTTGGTTTTGGTTTTACGACACTCAGTCGAAAACTTAGATTACGCAGGCTAAAATGATTAATGTTATGATTTTTGGTAATTATTTTGCAGAATGAAAGGGATTCAAATGCTTCGGATGACGAAGAAAATAACCGGCCAGAGCTGAGATACGGAGTCTACAGAAATTCAACACCGGGTCTTTTACGGAGAAAGAAGGATGACGCGTCCTTCAGTCCCTCTTGATCTGCACAGGGCCCATCTGCGCCTGTGTGAAATACCGCCTTCGGTTTGCAGCGTGGTATGCATGAAGGCCTGGGGGCGAGGATCTGAGAATTAGTCGAATAGTGTTCAATAGTTACCTGTGCTTTTGACTTGAGAAGGAGAATATAGTTAGTAGTGGGGTACAGTGTTAGAAGAAATATTTACACAAGGAAATATTGAGAAGCTCGCAATTCTTAAATATGACCTCACAAGAATGCATAAAAGGAGATTTACAAAGTAGCCCGGGCGACCAATGGCCAAAGAGGAAAGTGATGGGGCTCAGTGATTCACCTCGCCCTCTTCGTGCCCTTTTTTCTTAATCCAGCCAAGATGAATATTTACATAATCACTTCTGTATGTTCACAGATTTTATTCTTGCAGGGAACCTGCTTTGATAGCTCAGATTAAATTACTACCCGTCAATTGTTCAAATCATTAAAATGTCACTCTGTCAATTTGATATTGAAGACTATCAAAGTCCTTACACGAAATAAAATCCTAAAAAATGATCGGTGATAAAATTCTGAATTCAATAAATTACTTTTATATCGTCGCCGTTGTTTCTCTGTGTTTTAACTGAATGAGCGATATTTTGCAGTATTTTCTCCTTGTGACCCCAAGATTAATTGATTACTTGTATATGTAGATTTTTTTCCTCTGCTCTGGATTTTCCTCACATGAAAAGCTGATTATACATCGTCTTGACAACTTCGCCTTCCAATGTGCCAAGACACTGAGCGTCGTTTAATCAGCTGAGGCAAAACACCAACACTTTTTTTAAAAGCAAAATAAACGCCGACAGGAATTAACGAAGTACGAAACCGTATAAAACCGTTTACGGTTGATGTATCATTTATATCTGGCAAAACAAGCTTGTTAATGCTGAAACTTTGAAAACATTGTCCGATTGATTTCAAACATGGTTTGTGAATACCTTCCGTTGAAGGCACTGATCTCCTTTGGAGTGGTTCTTTCATTATCCATCCCATGTTCGACAAACTCAATGTCGGACCCAAGAGCAAGACCCTCGAATGATTCTGCAACAAACACACTGTGGACGTCCAGACCGGGTATGAAATACCTTACGTGTAGAATACTCAGAGGTGTGAATTTGAAACCATCTGACAACACCTTCTACCACTGAGATAGGTCTTGATTATGATTAAAACATTGATAAATATTATCAAAGCTAAAGAGGGTGTAATTCTGGATAGCTTTTCATTAGTTAATACCTTCTAATTGTCCGTGAAGACCGCATTTAGTCAAATCGAACCAAAGACGCTATAGGAAACCCTTTCAATTTGGAACATCACAGTTCCATTTCAAGCGCATTTGCTTTGTTTTCTCAATAGGAATATCTTTAGTAACTATTGGCGAAAAATAAAACAGTTCTGCAAAAATAACTTCTTTTGATTTATTTCTAACATGGGAGCAATATGAAACAATCCTGAGTCGCCTGTACTTCAGTTTCAGTTTCATTCACATTATCTGTGCAGTGTTGAACTGCTGATATTTTTGTTTCATGTAAATTTTTCGCACATGTGCAGTTTAACTCCTTCAAAGCGTTGGGAATCGACCATTTGACAACGGTTCGTCACACTGAAGAATATATTTCCCGACAGTTGTCATTATTTGTCCACAGTTGACTTGAAATATAATTTAAAAATAAAAATACTTAAAGAAAAAATGTATAGTTTAGCCGCGGAATGAGGAAAATTGACGGTGGTCCCGTTTCAAAATTCTTCCATGCGTAAATATCTCTTAGTAACCTCGTTTTCTCAGTCCGAACTGTGAGTTACGGATCGAGTTTTTTCCACTCGGTTTTACGGCCATAAATCTGAGCGGACAAAAAAAACCAAGTCTGAACAAGGAAAACGAAGTTATTATAGACATTTGTTTCAAATCTGGGTTCCAACAGAGATGGAACGTTTTAATTCAAACAAACTGTTGAATCTAGCGGGCCTGACAGTGAAAAACGGCCCGCTAAATCGACCAATCAAAGCGCACGTATTAACTGAGAAATATAATAAAGAGTGTTGTGGTCTGTAAGAGAGCGTGATATTAATAGCTGCAGTACCTTTTTGATCGTTTCTACCAGAGTTCCGGGCAGGAAATGGTCTAAATAAGTGAGTTTCTACGTTTTTATTGGCTCCGGGCTACAACTACAACGACAATAACAAAGCAATCGATTTGTAAGACTTGCGTCTGTGCCCAAGGAAGTATTATTACATTTAATAATACTGACAATCAAAAGTTTATTTTTTTAGCGCTTCGATCGAACGTTGCACTCCAGAAGACCGGGGTTGTAGCATGGGTATCGGGTGTTATGTTCTTCAGGGACTTAAAAGGATGGGATGAAGTAATCGTTTTGTGGTTAAGTTTTCATTGGTATTCTTTCAGACTTGTTGGAGGGGGATATCATACAGGAGGGAGGTACTAGTCGCGCTTCCGTCAACAAGAAAATTTACTTGTGGCCCAGAGGGATTGTCCCGTATGTAATGGACTCAGGATTGAGTACGTACACTTCTCCTACAATGCATGTCTTCATATTCGGGCTGAATTATTACAAAGGGTAGCCATGTGGTGATTACGCTAAGTAGATCTTTGCAAGCATTTCGTTGTAAACATTGCCCAAGTCGGGTCAGTCTCCCTTTCCGGCTAAACCCCTATTGACATCCAGGAGACCCTGCTCGGAGTTGGAAAATTTTTCAATTTTTTCATTGTTCATTTCAGTAAAAGTACCGAGCCAGGCTAGCTTTTAGCTATTCCGCCTTGGTACCTTTGATAAAATTAGCACGATTGTCTTGTTTAACTGGCTATGTTTCCATATCAAAAGCTATATACCACAATTTCGAAACTCGTAACTTTGTGAATAATACGTCACTCAGTCTCACATGGCACGCGTTTAGGTTTTGGAATGTTGAAAGACAGGAAACGGATCAAACTCGAATGAAACCGCGTGTCAATGCAGTTTGGCTACCTCGCTTTGTGTAAGGTATTTTTTGTGCAACAGCTCTGGTGGTGTTCGTATCCGTGCTTGTGTTAAGAAATCCAATCTCTTGTCTTTGTGCAACCCGTGGGACATCACCGCTTTCGACAATGGCCCATTTTATCCTTAGCAATAACATTGTTTCCGATCTCAAGACATAAATTTAGACTTTTATTTCTTCCTTTTTGTTCTAATAGCTGCTTTGGCCAGGCTAGCCATAAGCAAAGCCATGAGGAAAATGGAAAGCCTTTCATGTATCAGTTTCAAACTCAGGACAAACGAACGTTACTTTGTCAGGTTTATACGAGGAGCCGGGTGAGTTCACAGAGAAACATATTCCTGAGAAAGTAAGAGGAAGTAGGTTCCAAGAAACAAATCTAATTGATTAGAAGAGTACACGTAAAATTATGTAAATTACCGAGTTTTGAGATTTTAAGAGATAATTTAACCTTTTAAAATTGTCTTCACATTCGACCACTGACACAGCCATTTTGAATCTTACCAAGCAACCTGACCTCTGGTCTTTGACGTCTAACTACCCTTTCCTGTTTCTTTGCCGTCTATTAGATTACTTAGGCCAGTTAAGGCATACAAGACTAGTAGCTAAGTTTGTACACAAGGCTTGTGTCGCGTACCCAGTGCAGCGGGGGGGGGGTGTGGTGCACTGGAGTTCGGGAAGTGCCAACTACAGGGCAAAAATAGACAACTCAAGTTGATTCAACAGCATTTAATCTGATCATCGACTCGTTAGAATATTGGGCACGTGCGATGGAAACTAAAAGGAGAAAATTACAATGCACAAGATAAAGAAAAGCGCTAAGATTCATCACAAAAGAAGCGAAATCGAAAGGAAAACGAAACGGAATACAATGGACTGCAACTTACATCTGATCCTGTCTTAAAGGGGGAAAAAAAACTCCAACGTTGAGTAACTCGAACAGACAAAACTTCGGTAAAACACCCCGATGTGACTCCTTCGATCTTCTAATTCCAACTGCGAAATACTAACGGGGGGGGGGGGGGGGCGTTCTTTAACGAGGATATCATTGTAAACCAACTCAAACAGGAACTACTAGCTACGTAAGCGATTCAAACTGTGAACGATATCATACGAAAAATACGGCGATAAACTCGATAATGAAACAAAACAGAACTCCAGCTACTTTAAATTAGAACGAAGGCGACTACGTAATCAAAGTTCTTTTTTATTGTTCATTACAGCTTGACCCTGGTTTGTTTGTTTGTTTGTTTCCTTAACAGCTGCTATTCCTGCATCGGTCGAACAATGGATACAAATGGACAGGTAGTTTCCATCGGATTTGGCTGTGAGCAAGAAGGGATTGTGCTACACGAGTTGATGCATACTGTGGGCTTCTTTCATACAAACTCAAGACCTGACAGAGATGCTTACGTTATTGTGTATTCAAAGAACATCAGACCTGGTAAGCTTCAACTCGTTCTCAGGCTCTCTCTTCTTTCCTCAATGGAGTGGAAAAGAAGATAGACCTTGGAAACGAGACTGGGTCAAGCTCTAGTAATCCGGAATTGCTTTGGTTTTGTTTTACTTCGCTCAGTGATTGGCCCAGAAAATCTACGACCTTTTACTCAATCAACCAGATTTAAGAATTAAACCAATCTCGACTTAGTCACAAGTGTTTTCCCGCGCTTCAGGCAATTTGCTTGTTTTTACTTGTTTTCACTCGAAGTTCTCATTGGCTCGTTGTAATGTTTTTCTTTGCTCTGATTTGCTGCAGTGATTACTTTGGTTTTGGTTTCATGACATTTAATCGAAAAGCGCTCCACACATTGAATTCAGGTAGTTGTCAGGGTAATCTGGCTGCCATGGGTCGAAGCAGTGCATGAGCCGATAACAGTGGGACTAGTTTGTAATCCAGTAAATGGAAATGCTATTGTAAAGCACTGTTCGACCTTGTTAAAGAAAGATTTTTTTAAATACCACTCGTTTTCCCGTCCTTTGTAGTTTTGCCGCTAAGGACCACGGGCTTCGGTGCTCTTTTTGTCCTGTAGCGGCCATCTCGGTCTTGTTGCTTTGAGCTCGAAGTAAATTATTGTATTTAACGACATTTTCCTGGTTATTCCACTGTTCTGGTCTTGAGAACAAACCTTACTATTTATTATTTCACGTGGTAGACGCCTAACGTTCAACAATCAATGAATGAGGTTGAGTTTTTGTGGTTTTGATTCCAAAGTAAAATTTGCAACAGGTTTCGAACGTAACTTCAGAAAGTACAGCCATGGCCAAGCGGATCGCTTAGGAGCACCATATGACGTCACGTCAGTCATGCACGTACCACGGAGAAGCTGGAGCCGCAATGGGAAGAACACTATTGAGTCGCGCGCTGGAGCCCACGTAGTTTTGGGTCAACAGAGAGGTCTATCAGTTGTGGATAAACAACAGCTTAATCAGCTGTATAACTGTGGCAGTAATAAGGGTAGGGTTTTCTATGCTTCATATGCTTGCAATCGTTACTCCTCTAGGAATTTAACATAAAGGCTTTAAGTAAGTTGAAATATGATCGGAGGAAACTTAAGAACGTCAAAAACTTTTTGTTCTAAATTAAAGATACTGGACTCGCACAGATACTAGGAAACCAAATATTCTCAAAAATATATGTATATATAAGTAAATGTATATATATCTTATTAACCAAGCGCGAGGGCCGTACTGGGAGAATATCGGCCCGAGGTCTTGACAGTATGGACCGAGCGCAGCGAGGTCCGTACAAAAAAGACCGAGGGCCGATATTCTTCCAGTTCGGTCCCGAGCAAGCTTGGTTAATAAGAGATTTATTATACGACTAAAGTTCAAAGGGACACAAGAGCGGTGTCATTCGGGACCATTCGGGACAGTGCCCGGTCCAATATTTAGAGAATATTGACCGGCAATAGAGCATTTTGATTGGTTGATTTTAGTTATTGGCCTTCTGACTGCCCGAGTCTTGTAATAAATATATGTTATTGACCAAGTGAGATGTTACGATGGTTGATTACTGGTCACAAAAGAAAAAAGAAGAAAAAACAGGTGAAGATCCTCTCATCTCTACCAAAGAAGCTTGCTAGATGAAAGGAATCTTCACTGAGCTAACGGAAGCAAATCAAATGATTTCTGTTTGGTTCAAAATCAATTCACGAAACTATTTTATAACATAATCAAAGTGAGGCGCGCGTTCTGATTGGTCAATTTAGCGTCCCCCGGTTGCCCATGGGTGTACGCTGCTGACGTGAGCAAATGCAAAGACAATATTTCCGCACGCGCTTGTTTTGTAAAAAAGAACTCTTTTGCTACAATATATCAATGTTATGTTATAAAACAAATGGTAAACACCACAGTGTACACTATTGAGTTATGGATACACTTGGGAGGTTTGCTAAGCACTCAAGAAGCTAGAGTCGCTCTCTGCTATCATCTCGCGCGACTCTTAGCTTCTCTTGCGCTTAGCAACCTCCCGCGCACATCCATAACTCAATAGTGTACGCTGTGGTGTTTACCATTTGTTAATTGGGCTGTTTCTATTCTAACGGTGTGCAAGACTTCCTGTTGTTGTATTTGTGACTTCGTAAACTGTGCGAGCCGGTTTCAAGCAATTTTTTTCTTTTTGTGGGGGAGGGGAGGGGTAGCTGCAGGGACTAGCCTATTTTACTCGCTCGAGTACTAATTAGAAATCAGGATTTGTAGTTGGCACATGATAAAAGACAAACCTATGTTTAAAAAATAAGCCAAAAAACACTCTGTTTTCTAATAAATTGCTTTATTCTCAGGCTGTTTTGTCGCTGTGGGTATTGAGAAAGGTCAAATACGCGACTCACAATTGCGCGCAAGCTCCTACAAGAGATACCATGAGCCACACCAGGCGCGGTTACATCTGACTGCGGGATTCAAGGGGAATGGTGCCTGGTGCGCTGCTCGAAGCAGAAGTGGAGAATATTTACAGGTAAATTATCATCATCTTTATTCTGCTTAGCAAAAAGAAAAAAGGCTGTCATCTGCTGGTGATTTAGGAAAAATCGTCTTTTAATTCTAAATTTGTCGGAATAAATGCGAATAAAGTACTGTTTTAGATGTGAGGAAAAAAATTGTTTTATCATAATGCTACTAAAAACCTCCATCAGTTTAACAGCAAAGTGTTTCACCTGTGGAGTCTAACTTTAAAGCATATTGAGATCCCCCCCTCCCCCGGCTCGCAAGTAGCACCTAAGAACCTGAAAATCAGAAAATACAAAGCTATAATCTGGGAAGACACTTACTCCCCTTCATGAAGAAATCATCTGGGGATATTGCGCTCGTGCAATGCATTTTGGATAATCTGTCAAACTTTTAGCTAAAACAGGGAGGTACAACTTCTTTTAACCCTCGTCATTAGTAAGCAGTTGGTGAGAGTACCGGCAACTCCACAAGAGAGACCAGGCGCACTGGAAGGCCTTTTCGCGCGTGGATTGCCGTTCACGCGCACTGGTCTCACTTACGTGCATCAACTTAAATCGAGGCCCCCGTTTGAAAGGCTTAGATCTCAGTCAATGTGTTAAATACTGCATTACTTGTGAACTGCAATGTAAAATGTAAGATTCACGGATTACAAATTTGTTGTGCTTACCAGCAGTGTGGGATTCATGTCTGTACACCATGCGAAAACTCTTGAATTTTCCAACCTGCCTTTTCAAAATAATCTTAATGGCAAAGCCACATCTCTCTCTTTGCTGTGGCTGCCCAATGTAAGACCCGGGAAGATATATTCACGAGTTTTCTTCGCGAGCTTTGTGATTTGAAAGGCGGCGAACTTTTTGTCATTTGACATTGTTATTGCAGTAATTGCTGTTCTCCATATTTTGGAACTGATCCACTTTACAGATTGACTTAGGTTCAAGACACAAAATAACAGCAGTTGCAACACAAGGCATGACAAGTCTTTTCTCGAAAGCCTGGGTAAAAGGGTACAGAGTTCAACGTAGTGACGATGGCCGCCGCTGGGTCTCAAGCGCACAGGTCAGCGGTGCATCATATAAAATGTGAAAGATTGAGGAGTCAGTTGAGTAATATTACACTGATTATATAAATAGACTATGCTTCTTAACAAAACACGTTTATTTACTGAGCACTTATGGTCTTGTTGACTGCCAATTTGATTGCTCAAACACCCCTTAAGCCACGATTTCTTGAAGGTGTGCGAAACTCTTCGGATTCTAAATAGAGATTTCGTTTTGATGTGAAAAGAAACCCAGGATTAGTTTGGTATTGCTATGTTGAGGTCTGTGATTGGTTCTCTTGTGTCATATTCTTCGCCTTGATTTGTCCTTCTGATAACGTTATTTTAGATTTTGTGGCACTCAATTAAAAAACTTTGTACCCATTAGACTTTGAAATGAGGCCGAGTCGTAAATCGAACTTGAGATTTTTTACCAAAAGCTTTTCCGTTCGTGCTACACCTTAGCAGCAGGATAGATAGCTAAACATTCAGTATTCAACCTCTCAAGCAGGACATTACAGTCATATAACACCACAATGAGTACCAAAAGTAGTTGGCATGCCTCCCCTTGGAAGGTGGTCGACAACTATTCACTCAACATAATCAACAGAAATATTGATATTCGTGTCTAATAAGTTTCTGAAATTGCACCACCCGCTCCTCTCCATTAGTGATTACTATTTTTTTACACTAACACCAGAACAAGGTAACTTCGAAATGGAGGAGGGGTGGGGGGAAGGAGGAGAGTGAGATAAACGAGAGTTATAAACAAAATTCTAAAATAATTAAAAAGTGCGAAGACTTTTGTCAGGCATTTTAATTTTTATGGCCTCATGATCATATATTGACTTTTTCAACAGATCTTGAGGGGAAATTGGGACGCAAACTCCGTGCAGTACAACGCCCTTCGAACACCGTTAAGTGGTCGATATGTACGGATCGTCCCAGATGAGTGGTACAATCAGATTTGTCTACGAGTCGAGCTTTATGGGTGCAAATAGACAAGAGTAAAGGTGAAAGGAAAAGGAACATTTTAAACTTGACTGTTTTTGGCGTATGCGCTTGAAGTACATCGGCACACAACGTGCCGGTAAATTGCCTTGATTTTCTGCCGGTAGATTGTTCATTTACGGAAATTTGAATTGTCAATTCAAACGAAATAAGAGCCTGGCAGCAGGCCGAGTAAGACTGAATCCCAATAAGGGACTTATCAGACTCAGTGGAGTCGGTCTCCCTGGGATCAATGCAAGATCTACCGATCATTTGTATGCTGTTATTGAGAAAGGAAGCATATAAAAATACAAGTAAGAAAACTCGTGACATAGGATAATGGTTTTTTCAGGATCCCCTTGGGCACCTCAAAATAAAGTGAGCTTAAATTAAACAATGAATTACAAGGGATTGTTACTTGGCCTAAATCTACAGCCTTCCCCTTCACCTCGTTTACCCTTGGGGTAAACGACTCCCTAGGGGTAAACACTACTTCCGCCCAGCCTAAGAGCACGCCTTCATTATTAGCGCTTCGAGACGAGTGTTCCTTTGCCCGCGGGAAAATAAGAAGGCGTTGAGCAATGCGAGCCAGGGAGAGGTCTGCAAACATTTTTATTGTCAGACCCTCGGCAAACATCTCTCCGACTTGTCTCGAATCTTCTAGCAGGCAAAGAAACTGGCGTCATGCAGCGTTAATATCGCAGGCTATTTTCCGCCTGAAGCTCTTCCTCATGGATTCTCTCCAAAATCGCTTTGGTTAGATAACTTTAGACGATTCTAATTCACAACACGTATCCTCCTCCTCTTTCAGGTCCAGGTCTCGCCTGAAAAATGAACCTCTACTAATTGTTTTGTTGTTGTTTATTTTTTTCCAACAACGGAAGCTGACATTGAAAGACAAGAACTTGACTCTTGTTCCGCATGCTAAAGTAAAATAAAATGGAAACACTTCTTTGACCATCTTGTAAAGTGCTTATCTGTTCAGTTTACAAACTATTTACAGCGCCGTCTGATATCTTTCCTTCTCATTTCATTTCAGACCAAGCACAAAACGTTCTGAATTCTCTCCCCAGACGAGAAGAGAACGCGAGATGTATCACGTACTGGATAATTTTAGATTTTAACCAGCTTATTTATAATTGGAAGTTAAGAGAAAAATGGCAAGAGTTTTTTAATTGTAACTGTTGGTTTAGTGTAAACATAACGAATTCCTATATTTTCATTTGAGACAATGATAGAAATTAAAAGCGGATATCAACGTTTTTGATGGTTGTCGTTGTTGTGATAAATAGTAATGAAAAAGGTCAATACTTTGAGTGGGCGGAATTCATACGAAACTTGCAGCTAAAATGGAAACGAGATAATTGCTTTTATCAACTGAGATTATACAATGAATATATGAAGTCCATTATACAATGAATATATGAAGTCCATTATGTAAATTGGCCGCTGTTAGGAGTTTCTAAAGCTAACGTTTCGAGCGTTAGCCCTTCGTCAGAGCGAAAAGAGGAATTTTGGTTTGTGTGTTGTTTTCAGCTATTTAGAGAGAGAGGTTGACGGAAAAAAGCGCAAAAGGACACGAGACAGTCTCGAAAGGTAATCTGGGTATCTGAAAATCAATGAATTTTAATGAGTGAAATAAATAAATGAACTCACCAAACCCGCCATGACTCGTCCCTACAGTAACATTTTCTCAGATTTCCCTGAATTCCTGAGGTCAAGAAACTGTTACCTGAAAACTACCCACAATGCCTTTCGGTAGCGTGTTCTTTTACGCTTTTTCCCGACAACCTTTCTCGAATCAGTTTAATAAAGCTTCACCTTTCTGTATGTAAACCAGACTTGATATGTTAAACCCTCCCGAGCCAAAAGTTCGGAAATTGTCTGCGTAATCAATCTATAAAAAAGCTCAGTTCAGTCATTCTAAAATACGACAGAAATCAATTCACTCAGTTATAAGGCATTGAGGAAAAAAAAATCCCCAACCCTTAACTTTACTTGAGGTACGCTGCTCGGAGACGAATTTCAAAGTATCTAAACAACACTCCTCTCGCCTCGCCCGACGCTCAAAGAGTAGATTCCATATTGCCTTGCTTCTGTTCACAAGTTCATAGATAGCGTCAAAATGTGACAAAAATAAAAAAGTGCCACACAAGGTTCAGCCGAGTGTGCCAATGATGTTATTATCACATCTTGACGTCGTCTATGACCTAGAACTGACCAGTGTAACTTATAATATAGAAAGACAAACGGTGCTCTATTAGCATTGAATGAGTTTTAATAAGGATAAAAACACTATTTACAATGATAATAAGTTAACGACTTTTTCAACCTATCAATAAATACTTGTCGACTTCTTGACACAGTTCTATCGTTTTGTTTTGAAGTGAGCGAGGTAAACATCTAGTAGCTGTTCACTTTGCAAACATGTATAAGGAGATGTCACGCCATCAATCTCCTTGGTAGCAAAACTAACCATAATTATGACAAACGTACATTCTCCTTGCTTGATAATTATTATTAAATACATGGTAATTAAGAATATTTTATCTCTCAAATATTATAGCAATAAATTTTTCGGTTATGATTTACAAACACTTTGGATAATCTTTATGTAAGCTCAGTAATCGGGCATTATTATTAATCAAGATTTCGCAACCGCACACACTACAGAATTAAGCAAATGCTTTGAAAACTACTCGCGTCCTTGGATCGATTGTGAAATTTTTGTGTTAAAATATCCCCTAATGCAAAACATTATGCATCTTCATGTTCTGTACAAACAAGACAGAAAGCTATTAAATAATTTGGATATACCAACAAAGTTGAAATGGTAAATTGGCCACCGTAACTATTACAAAAGCTGACGTTTCGAGCGTTAGCCCTTCGTCGGAGCGAATAGAGGAATTGTGGGTTGTGTGCTTTTAAAGGCAGAAAATAGAGCTACGTTATTGATGGGAACATGGCAACGAGAAAAACTCTTTTTCTCGTTGCCATGTTCCCACCAATAACGTAGCTCTATTTTCTGCCTTTACAAGCACACACAACCCACAATTCCTCTAATCGCTCCGACGAAGGGCTAACGTTCGAAACGTCAGCTTTTGTAATCGTTACGGTGGCCAATTTACCATTTCAACTTTGTTGATATATCCAAATTATTTCGTTACTCCCACCGACGCAGCCCCGAACAGTTTCTTTCGAAACTATCAGCCTTTATTCATTTGTAGAAAGCTATTAATACAACATGTACCATTTCGTTTAGTGCCTTGCAATGGTTCTCACGACATTGCAAGGGAACCAAACATAGTGCAAAGAGAACTAAAGCATAGGAACATTTACACATGCCAGCTATTTTAACCCCTTGTAAAACACAAACGTTCCCATTTGCAGAAAGTCTCCGATTTCAAAATAATTTCTTCTCTCCCATAAGGAGTTTTTCCTGAACAGTTGCAACTACAGTTTTCACTTATTGCAAAACTTATTCCAAAGTCATTTTATAACTTACAAAAATTGTTACAGCTTTCACCACTAGAAGAGAATTTAAAGGTTGATATAATATAATAATGAATCATGCATGGCAAAAAATTAATTCATAAACTCTTTTTTAGATCTCAAAGTCAGTATACATAATTATTTTAGCCTGTGAAAAGGCTCTCACAGTATTAGCACTGCAGTATACTGTGTGCATACTTGTTTAAAATGAACCAATAGGGAGCATGCATGCAAATCACATTTCATTTTACATTTTGATTCTTAAAATGTTTATCCATAAATTAGTTAATAATCATATAGAAGTGAAAAATATTTTTCCAATCCTTAACAATTCTACTTCCCAGATCTTCCAAGTAACTCTTCTTACTGTCTCTCATACAATCCTTGTAATGCGAGTTTGTTGAATTTGTATTGGACCAACTACTAAACCCCTAGTTCACATTTGTCTTCACCCTCACTACTTGTCTGCTTGATTTTGTATTGACATTGTAAGGATAAGTTGTGTCTTGGTCACTCATGGAAGTGATAATGATAACATTTCCAAAGCTAGAACCATGTCCAACATGATTCAAAGAAAAAAAAAAAAACCATAAACATGGATTAAACATCTGCACAATATAGATTGTCATAGTAAAATCAACCAAATAGTTTTGGATAAGTCAATAAAAGTGTAGAACAGAATTCTTTACTACAATGAACACTTTAAAAAGTCAGCCTTGGTTTGACTGTCCCTAGATTGTAGGAAAATTACTTGTAATGAACTATACAGGCTCTAAATTTATTTGAAAGAAATCATATCAACACATTTTGTAAAAACGTATGGTCACCCCTACAACGGATTTATCATTTACCACATTGTACAAAACAGAAGAGAAAAACTCTAGTTTGAGCACATGCAACTCTTCTAATTTTCCTATAAGAGTCTTTAAAATATATGTAATTAATCAGTTAAGTTGAAGAATGAAATGTAGTGAATCATGATTTTTGAAGGAGCTCTATAAGTACCTACTTTCTTTTAATGTTCAATCATTGTATGTCAAAAGCCTTAATCAGCTGGCATTCAATCCATAAAGGATATTCTAAAAAATTTTCCAAATCAAAATTAAGGTAGAGAAACTATGGTATAGCACTTGTTATGATGACCTAACTTAAGTAACCATTCACAAAGCTGAATGTTGATATCTACAACTGACAGGTCAACTCCGAGTTGTATGGCTTGAAGGCGTGTGTGTGTGTGCGTGTGTGTGTGCGCGCGCGCGTGTGTGTGTGTGTGTGTGTGTGTGTGTGTGTTTTTCTTTTAGGGGGGGTGTGTGTGTTACAGGATAATTTGATTTTATCAACTGAGTTGTTTGTTTAAATTACCCTCCATAAAGAGTTTGTAAAGCTGATGTTTGGAGTGTTAAACCTTCATCAGAGTGAACAAACAAGGACTTGGGGATGCAATGCTGGCTTTACAGACCCTTTACAGCAGTCAATTAAAGTTATCAACTCGGTTGATAAAATAATCACCATGCCAGTTCTTGGGCCCTCCAAGTGCTTATGACTCAAACAATCTAGTTTTCACTAGCTCCTAAATAACCATGTCATTAGGAGCATTGGCATTTTGCACCCAGCTCTGTCAGTTTACCTTACTTACACTATAACATAATCACTCTGCACCTCTGACTACAACTCTGAGTCTGACTCCGTCATTGGTGAAAACCAGCGTGCATACTCTGTACAACTGGAACTGTGAGGGGTCAGACAACACTTGTCATAAACATGAGTGCACTTCAATTTCTAAACTGCATACTACCATACTTTGAAGACGTGTAAACTTCGCATGAGGTAGACATCACAGAGACCAGCTCTGAATGTCAGTAGGGGAATCTACAGGTATTCATGTCCTTATAGTGAAATATTTTCAAAATCCATTGTGATGGTGGAATGTCGAGGTCTGTGAAAAGTCGTACAGGCTTTGAAAAGGGAATCACATATTGCAGTACAGCACTGTATATATCTACATGTTCAAGCAAACAGAATTAAGGAGCAACAAGTTCAGATTTCTGCTTGTGCTAGAAAAAAATTCCTTAACATGTTCACCTGTGCCCATGTTCTTTCTTTACTACTCCATTGGCTTTTCTGATTCCTTTAATTCTGGATAGTAATTCTTGTATCTCAGATGCCAGGCTATGCTCGTACAAGCAGTAACTGTTCTGAACTGATGAATGATGTTGCGAGGAATGAAGTAGATGTCGTTATCCCTCAGCCGGAATGCAGCATATTTTACACCATCTCTTCTCAGTTGATTTAGTTTTGCATCATCTACCCAGCTAACACACTAAAAGAAGACAGCACAAAGATAGCAATCAGAGTCCATGAAACAAGAAATAAATGCAAAGAATGACCCATACATGTAATTCAAGAAATCTCTATTTAGGCTCTGGGTAATTCAGGTGGAAATTGGGGACCAGTGTTGATAGTTCAAACTAGGTAATGGATAGTTTTTTAAGAATATCCACATGAATGCTTTCGTCCATATCCAGTAAACTTTATCACAATAAACATAATATGTATGTGCTGCAGTTTTGTGTTTTTCTAGGTTTAAATAATTATTTCAGACTAGATGTCCTTAGTTGATGGATGATCTGGATCCCGATGACAAGAATAATAATTAGGGTTTGACTTTAACGGTTCGCCAACTAGCCACAGACAAGTAGAAATCAGTTTTGGCTTGCGATTTTTGATTTCTGCTAGCCAGTTTGGCTAGTAAGTTGAAAAGTTAGTGTTGAGCCCTGATAACATCATAACAATTTAATAAATTCAAGTTGTGTACTTTTGAGAAATAAAAAGTTCTTGAGGTATCTTGTCTCAAAAAATCTAGGCTGCGCTGCTCTTTAAGTTTTTCATGAATTCAAAGCAAAATTATTCAATACTGTCAGCCAAAGACAAAAACTTAGTTGCCTGTAACACTTAGGCAATATGTTTTATTATATCTCTTTTTATTAGTTACTTTGTTAGGCTAGTTCCAATTTTGAATTCTAGATTTGCATGTATTACTTACTAATCCTTAGTTTTGAGGGCCACTGGTTTGTCAGTGTAAGCTGTTATGTGTACATCCTCTTTAAATAAACTTAGACTTACTTACCTAGGCTTTACTATATCACAACATTATTAAAATATTATGATACGCAATTTAAGTAGATGTAGATCAAATAAAGCAGGAGCCATTTAACAGATTGAGTTATACATGTGCAAGTAGAGTGGAATACTACTGTCTAACAGTGTACTCTTACTTGTTGCACTGGAGGTTCATGAAGATCCAACTGCAATTTCTGTGTCAGGAAATTAAAGTTTTCAGCACTAAAACAGATCACATCTTTGCAGTCTCTGTTAGAGGCGGGACTGGAAAGCAAGTAAAAAAGAAATTGTTAGGAAGGTAGCTCAACACTTTTTAAGAGGTTGTGTTAAAATGTGGGAATAATTCACCAAGCTTTCATTCATTTATGTGTAATGTTGCACCTGAAGGATGAGTATAGGAGTCAACTCTGAAAGACGACAACTTCAAAATTTCTATTTTTTTACTTACAGTGGGTAAAAGCAGAGAGGCTCCTGTATTAAGCTCTTAACACATCATCATCATCATCAAAAATTAATATTTTTTTCCATTCTGATATCCACTAAAGTGTTGTCATTAAGGTGGACAACTGCTAAAAACCTTGTGATGTAGAACTCTACTTGCATAGGGTTCATTTTCTAAAGAAAAGTGAATTGGCAATTTTATACACAGAACTGGTTTCTTACATTTCTCCAACATGGACAGCTTTCAAGACCCCAACTGCCGCAGTTGTCTGCCTGTCAAAGCCATGTCCAACATGATCAGCATGACAGCGTGTTCTATCTTCAGCCAGAATCTCCCTGGGTTCAGAAACTCTGGGAAGGTACTGCAGGTTTTGGAGTTCATTTACACCAATTCTTGAAAACAAAAGATTAAAAAGTTGATTTTGCTGGGTACTAAATAATCATATGGCAATCAATTGCCAAGTTTGGCTATTATCACGTGACAAAAAAATAATTATTGACCTTTCAACTTCACAGCTGAAGTCATTCAATAATTTATACAATAAAATACAATACAATGCAATTTTTTTTTGACATTCATAAACAGAAAGATGGTTGATATCACCAAATGAACAAAAAACAATATTTTAATATGGAAAGGGGGCCTCCAGAAACCGTGGGGCTTATGCCAGGGGGACAAATACTGTATTTACTCGTGTGTAAGTCAAACTCACACATAAGTTGACCCCACATTTCCAAGGTCAAAAATCAGATTTTTAACCATTTCTAATTAAAGAAGTAAAATTCACCAATAGAATTTTCCCAAAAGTTAATGAGAATGTATTGAAAACACAGCAAATTAAAGACTGCAAAGCAAAATGTAAGCCTGTGCTGTGGAGTTTATTAGCACTTGTTTATATCAGCACGATTTGAGCATACATGAGCACTGCCATTTACTAGAGAAGTACTTTACTATATTTTGTAAATTGCATTGAAAATGAAATCTTCTTGCATTTAACTGACCCTTAATCTAAACGTTGAGTTTGAGAGGAGATTTAGAGTAGACCAAATTTAGAGCAGACCAAAGGAACACCAAAGAGCTTTGAAGGATAGCTAGATGAAACACGGCCATCGTGGTCCACACGCGTAACAAACAATACCGTACAAGACAACAGCATTTGCCAAGTCACTAAGCTACTGTAATCATTTGAAACAAAAGTTCAGCCCTATAAACAGCAGCGAAGCTGTAAGAAAAATGTCTGATCCACAGATGAGAAGACACAATAGAATTCAGCTCCAGTGGTTTTGTGTTAAAGTCACTTGAAATTTATCATTTCAAACTTTTTTTGTTGATTGAAGAATGTGCTGAAAACTGATGAAACTTGAACATAATTTGAACTACTTTTGTGAACTTGGTTTTCCTAATGGACTTCAAGCAATTGTAATGCTAATTGTATTGCTCGTGTCAGGTCTTTGTATATATATATCTTATTAACCAAGTGCGAGGGCTGTACTGGGAGAATATTGACCCGAGGTCTTGACAGTACAGACCGAGCACAGCAGGGTCCGTACAAAAACGACCGAGGGCCGATATTCTTCCAGTACGGTCCCGAGCAAGCTTGGTTAATAATAGATTTATTATACGACTTAAGTTCAAAGGGACACAAGTGCAGTATCATTCGGGACAGTGCCGGGTCCAATACTGAGATAATATTGACCGGCAATAGAGCATTTTGATTGGTTGATTTTAGTTATTGGCCCTCTGACTGCCCGAGTTGTGTAATAAGACTTGTGTATAACTTGAGGGTGATCTTTTGGGCTGATCTTTTGGGCTGATCTTTTGGGCTGATCCTTTGGTCATAAAAGGTCGACATATACACAAGTAAGGTAGATTAAGAAATGATGACAGAATAAGTGGTAATGATAGGAAAACATGAATGACATTATGTTAAAAACATTAATCTTGAAGATATCCAAGATGCAATATCATCATCATCTTTAATAGTAACATCCTTGTGAGGTTTTTCAGAAACTATTTACAAACTTTTTACAACTCATAAAAACATAAATAACAATAAAACTCATGGTCAGAATTTAAGATAGTATTCCACCAAGTTCTAGAGCTTATAAAGGAAATGTCTGCCTCAACAGTGTGTCTTGCAGAGCGTGCTTGAAAGATGCCAATGAGGCATTTTGCCTAAGTTCTTTATGCAAGTTATTCCATGTGTTGGCCCCTCTATAGGAAAAAGTGCGCTGGCCAGTATTCCAGTACTTCACAATACCAGCTAACAACAAGATATAAATTAAGACCTATGGCACAACAAAGTAATTGCAGGTGAAACAAAGTCTTCATTTGAGTACTTGTTGACCACCATGTTAAATTATCACCATTTCTTAACCCTCTCACCCCACGGGGGACCAAGAAAAAATTTCTCTTTATAATAACATAACATCAAGCACACAAGTGAGGAAAATAAATAAAAATATCAATAAGGGGATTATTAACTGATCCAATACCAACAGTAAGTGGACCTGCCAATAGCACTTTGAGAGTGAAAGAGTTAATAGCTAGCAGTTTGTAAAACCCTAGGCAGTTACTAGTCCTACATGTTTCTTATGATGGAGCAAAGTATTGCACAGTAACATTGCTACTTAACAATTGGTTCATGCTTTAGCGTGCACTATCGAGTTATGGAGCACGCGGGAAGTTTGGAGAGCACGAAAGAAGTGTAAGAGTTGCCCGAGGCGATAGCCGAGGGCAACTCTAGCTTCTTGAGTGGCAGAATGACTCAAATTCTAGAATGCCTGGTATTTTTCTTAGCTTCATCCATATGGATTTACAACATAATCCATACAATGTAAATAAATGTGCACAACATACCTCCGTTTCTTGTATGGTGATCTTGATTCTGCTGTGGGAACAACCTGCTCTCCTGGGCGGACCCACATAATAGGGCCATCATTGCTTTTGTTTCGCTCAGGTAAAGTAAGTGCAGAGAAACTTCCCCATGGCATGGTCTCCTTCAGAAAGAGACATTGTTCAAGTAAGTCCAAAAACTGTGGGAAATACCCTCCACTCTCCTCCTGAACAGTCCCAACTAAGCTGAACTGCAGAAGGGGGCCTGATCGGTAAGTCCCACAATCATAGGAAGATTCAACTCTTTGCATGAATTCCTCCATCTTCAAAGTCTCAAGGTCTGATTTTTTATATAAAGATGAAACCTTGACTGTCAAATTTGGATGATTTACTCCAAAGTATTTCACAAGTTCAGGTAGATATCCAGCAGCATTGTGAACAATGCCCATTACATTTTTTGCCACACCTTCACTTTTTTCAGCAAAGACTTCACGAAAAAACAGTTTGACAAACTTCTGAAGCTTTTCTTCTCTTAACCCAGCAATTTCATCGGTATAAACATGCAGCACTGATGCTCCTCCATTGGCATCAACCTCTGTGTGAATCAGATGTGAGAGACGAGTTTTTTCCTTGGGATTTAATCGAATGGTATAATCTTGATCATTAAAATTCTTTTCCTCTTCACGGTTATGATGATGATGGTGATGCTCCTTGTGTTTTTTCTTCTTTTTCTTTGTATCTGATCCTCCATTGAGTTTGGCAGTACCATTGCTCTCGTGATTTGTGTCAACTGAGAAAATCAACAGAATTTGCATTTTAGTTATCACCAGTTTCGATAAAAGCCAGTCAGAAATGGTCTTATGTTGTCTACAAGACCTATTATTGACATCTGTTTAAGCAACTAGTATGCTCTCATGCTTAGATTTCACCTTAACACCCTTTTCAGGGCATGTGGTAATATCTTCGGCCGTATTGGTAAGAAAACCCAGTATGGAGAATATGCCTACTGATTTGCAATTTCTTCTGTCTAGAGCAAAGTAAAACACAGATCAAACTGTTTCTTTTTATTTTTTTTTTTACCTGAGAGTCATTAACAAAAGACCACTATTACCACTTTAATGAGCATTGTTGTGCATTTTTGTGGGCTAAAATGAACATTTTGGTGGCTTTCATACTAGCATGCTTGTGTGACTGATCTGACCTTTTTCATTGTCACAATTTTCAGTTTTTATTTTCTCAATGCTCTCGTAGGTGATAATAGTAGTAATACAGTTTCTTTTCTTGGGAATAAATATGTTTTGGGCGCTTTTCCGAGACATTTTAACCCTCACCAAGCAGCTTTGGCTAAAATGACTCTTAGTTGGGCCCAAAACATCTTAATGCCCGTGAATATAAACTCTATTGTTTCATTATACCTCATTATAACACTAGACTCTGTAAGTGGTGAAACCACAGTGACACCATACAGTGGAATCCTGATTTCTCGAGCCCTCGGTTTCTCTAACCTCCCGATATCTCGAACCAAACCTTGTTTCCCTTGGATTTGCTTCACTTGTAATTTCACCCCCGATTTCTCGAACTCCTGATTTCTCGAACCAATCTGCGTTTCCCCTGGAGGTTCGAGAAATCGGGATTCCACTGTCTTTACACGGATTTGTTACCTGAGTTTCTCTTGATTTTCAGTTTCAAATCATTGTGAGAAATTATCTCTGGGGCAGAGGGTGTGAATTCACACTTTCCTGAAAAATGACAACAAATCTTTCAGAAAAAAAATTATCATAACCTTTTTTTAGGGACTGTACTATTAATTGGTCAATTTAGCAGCGCAAATCTTACCGTGCAGCCCACTCAATTGGAGAGTTTAAGAAATCTTCCCCCTCTGTTTGAACTAAGAGACATAATTAGGGCTCTACACTAACTTTTCAACTTACTAGCAAAGTGGCTACTGACAACTTAGATGTTACAACAATTTCAGTTTGTTTACTAGCCAAAACTGAGTTTCTACTAGTCTGTGGCTAGTCGGCTAATGTTAGTGTTGAGCCCAGATAATAAATATCTTACTAAAAAGAATTTTCCACTGGGACATGTGGCATGTACAATTTAAACTTGGACTGTAAATCGAAGAGGAAAAAACTTAGTACATACACATAACGTATGGTGCATACCTCAAGCTATATTAGAAAATGGTATATATTCAAAATTACCCGTTTTTTAAGTGAAAACAATTTTAGTGCAGGTACAAGGTTGCTTCTCCCCTGGAATCTCAAAATGAGATATAGTTATTCATATAATTATGTATGTTTCAATGGCAGGAAAATTACATAGTTTCTGGGGCATTCTTCTCCCTAGAGAAGTTATGTGCTTATGTTTGAAAAGAGTGGTATGGTTCATTCAACAATAGAGTCTGCTTATGAGTCTTACAACAATTTTCAGATTGCCCTTCCTTTTCTGTGAATGGTATCACTTAGGGAACGACTACATGTTTGAAGCTACAATACTACAATGAAATCCACAGAGTTTGGTCAATTTGTTAGATCTTCGAGTTGCTTGTAATTTCAAATCAGGTTTGCCCTTTACTCCTTGACAATGGATAAAAAAACACTAAGCTTTTACGTTTAGCCCCACAACTGTTTACTTATTGCTAAAACAACATCTACCTAATGCTGGTACTGTAAATGCCCATCCTACTTAGAAATCATGACATTGCAATAAAGACACCGTTACTTTTTTTATACAATCCCTGAGTTGGAAAGTTTCCTGTCTAGGCAAAGTTTTTAAGAGAATTTTTGTGTTATATCTACATCGACGTCTTTGCCACTGGATTGTCAAGACCAGATTATCTTCTGAGGCAGTTTTGTTTATGAAAAAGCACGTGGAAGTTTACATACCGAATCATTAACTTCAAAAGGAAATAAAGCGAAAGAATTCAACATTATGATCCTTTTTCTTTTAAAACGAGTGTCCTTCACTACAATGCAAAGGGCACTTCCCCCACACCACCGAGAATTTCAATTCCGTTGAGTCAGGGAAATCTGGTTGCCTAAGCCACACATGCCAGGCGAAGTTCGAAGTCAATATGTCTGTGAAATTTACTACAGTAAAGTTTGTCGCAATTTAACGATTCAATTCACAATCAAACGAGACACTTTGCTTCCAAAATGCTACCAAATCGTTCTCTTGAAAAAAATTATAACAATCACATGCAAATAGGTATGCAAAATTCCAAAAAACAAAAAACGGCTACCATAGTTGAGCAGAACAAACAAAATAATACAGTATCCCCTCTGCAAGTTCAACTCGTTTAAGCACCTGAATATCCTCCATTGTACGTTTAAATCCCTCAGTCACTACTTAAACAAAAACATACATCTCACCTTCTTTTTTAATTTTCTTTAAGGTTGTCTTTAAGCTGTTGTTCGGTGTTTTAGTTGGCGACGGTGAAGGTGATGTCGGTGACATAGACGTTATGTTCCAACTCTCTTCAGACGAACTCAAACGATGCGTTTTACCAAAATTCTCCGAAGGTTTTGTCTCTTCTTCGAAACTCGTCTTTCTTTTCTTCTTGACATGTTCATCTTTTGGTAATATGAGGCTTGTTGGATTCTTCAGGAAAGGAGATTTGCTAGGAAACGTATCACGACCGTTGACGGCAACTTCCTTCGAGGTCGCCATCTTAGAATTTATATTATGGGTAAACAGTGACGTCACAGCATACTCTTGCCGTTTTTCGCGCGGTTATTTTTTTTTCTATTTTTTTGTAACTTTTACAAAAATTGTTATGTGAGAGCAGAAAAAAATTTTAACTTCTGACCTTTGCATACTGAAGAAAACAGCATTGTTAGAATATTTCGATTTATAAGGTTAAAGCATTTTTACTCTTTGCGCAGAAAATTTGTCTACAGAGCATCGTGGGTAGAATTATTACGTCTATTATATTTCAAATTTTATTTCTAAAATATTCAAGACATTTTAGGGTCAATTTAAATGTCTTAACGATTCGTCGAATGTGTGTCAAGATTTATCGTTAAAATACCTGGATAATTATCTCACAAATAGTTTAATTTTAAAGAGAGCACACTAATCCTATCATTTATATTTTTTTAATGCACACTATCACAGAATATGATCAGCATCAAAATAATTTTAGTAACAAATAAAATACTTTTTCTCGACAAACAGGATCTGTCGTTCTTACACCTGGTGGGTGGGGAGAGGGGGAGCAAGGCTGTCACTCAAACGAGGCTACAATACAGGGAAAAAGTAAACATGGCGCCGGGCGCTAGAACGCCGAGAGTTTCCGAAATACCAATCTACACCCTTGATTTTCCCCATACTTGTGTCATTCCCTGAAAACAGAAATGAATGTCAGCTCAGAGGGTCAAATATGAAAATATGGCTTCCTGGAAAGCGACAAGTGATGCAAAATTTGGAGTCGGTAGGCGTTTATCGTTGACATATTCAGATCCGCTTTCAAATTTTGAACTTTTCAACGTGCCCTGAACAAATATAAAGCCGTCTTTTTCGTCTTCCAGTTGTTTACAATTTTGACGGAAATATTACGCATGGACTGCGGTTAACCATTGGCGAAACTGTGCACATTTTAGAAGAATGCGCAGGTGAGCATTATCTAATTTTAATAGTTGACTTCCAGTCGGTATATTAGCAGTCTTCTATTGCCTAAAAATATTTCCTTATTGGCCTTTCGTGTTATCCGAAGCTTTATGATTAATCTAAGGGTTTCCGGATTTATCGTGGATGTTTGATGATTGCAAAAGGTCGCTTTCTTTAATATTCCTAGAAAGGAATTCAGTAATTTTCTATATGTTTACTTCGATCGGGTTTACTAAAAATAATGTTTGTTACTTTTCTAAGTTTGTTTAAATCACGCAATATAAGTGTCATTATTAAACCTCGATTATAATGATCATATTTCGGTCGCGAGCGTTTTAGCTTCTATATAGTCAATCGATGTTTCAGCAGCATTCGTACAAACTGAGTTAAAACATGTTTTCGTGTTTTTCTTATTCGGTTTTTCGATGGAATAGGTTGGTACAGGGGATGTACTCTACGAAACAAATCTGTAAAGGTAAGTTCTTCGCCTTTCAAGAGTTGCTAGTTTATTTTAGTGATTAATTATCTAAATATAATTTAAATATGTTTGCTTCATTTGAGTGTAATAGGGCCCGTAATAAAATCAATTAAGATATATGTTTTAAGTTAAGTTCGCAAATTGTATCATGTTAAAGTTTATCTTCTTGGATTAAGAATATAGGAAGAGCTTCTAGAAGCACCTCTCTTGCTAAAAATATCTGTCAAGGGTTCTGTAAATGAGAAAAAAGAATATTGATCTGATTCATTCATTTTCACAACTTCTTGTGTTGTGTATATCTATACTATTACTAATAGTCATCCTTCCCTGATGTAAGTACAAGAGAACCCTGCTAAAGTCAGTAAACTTGAACCTTCTCACTAACTTCAACAAAATGCCATTTCCGCTGGATGTGACCGCATTTTTTCTGGATGTGACCCCATTTTTTCAGTCCATTTTTTTACCACTATGGGATAGTGGAGTCTGATTGTCGAGGTGAGTGTAGCCCTGAGGAATACTTGTCGTTGGGGGTGATGACTGACACTTCAACAACCTGAGCAGAGGTCACTGACTTGACTCTGATGATGACCTCTGCCTAGGTTGTGAAAAAATCAGTCTGCACTACTGATGACAGTCCAGGACTACACTCACCTAGACAATCAGACTGCACTATGTTACCCCCAGATTCAAACTATTTACTGTATTATTACTACTATCATACCTCAAAACTCAGTCAAATCAAACTTTAACTAATTTTACCTTTCCCTGGCTTAAAATAGTTTCTACTCTAGAGCCTCAAGAATATCTAATACATTTCCAGAATACTTGAGGGTCAATACCCAATCTATTAAAGTTTTTGAAACTAATTTGAAGAAATATTACTTAGATCTAACTTCAACTTTGTATGATCCTGCATTTCCACAAACTTTCAAAAGTGTCTGCATAAAATGTCATATGAGTTGACCACTAACAGCATTACTAGCCAAACTCTGTTGCTAATTAACTATTTCTAATCACATAATTCCTACCACTCGATTGTAATTTGTAATTGTAATTTGTAATTGTTGTTTTTTTTTGTTTGAGTTGTTTTTTTTTGTAGGAGTCTCGTTAATGGAACGTTAGCTCTGTGAGATCTCTTCTGCCAAATTGTTTTTGGTAAAGCTTATAAATAAATAAATAAATAAATAAATAAAATGAATCTGATAACATGAACTTCATTATAACCATCAAGGTATTAGAAAATTTGTTATTGACATGTTCCAATCTTTAAATGCAATTGCTGTGAATATGATAATGTAGTACATTTAGCTAAACTTCCCAAACTAACTGTTCTCAAAAAAAAAATCTCTTTTAATATAATAAAACAAGCTAGATGTATGAAAATGCTGATGGTGCAAGAATGGTAAAAACATGATTTCTTAATAATTATTGACAGGATCATTGAAATTCAATGGTAATCCTGTAAACACAAACCCATGCTTAACTTAGTTTTTGTTTCCCACAGGAGTTTGACTAAGCAGGGTTCTAATGTAATCATAAATTATGCATTGTGTGGGATCTTGTGTTTAGGTCTTAATAAGTATTTCTAAGAATTTTCCAGACAATGCAGGAGAATATACAGGGACTTTTTAAAACATTAAAAATTATTAGTGCCTACATGAAATGTTACATTACATAATAAGATCATCCTAATTTGATTAGACACTGTCACTTAATTTTATTTTGCCTATTGACAGGGTATCTTCCCAGCAACATACATTAACCTCAAGGAATGTACTGTGGAAAATAGAGGGTAAATATGACTATTTTTCTTTGTTCCTGCTTCTGTATTTTTGACCAATATTGCAAAAATGCAACAACTTAGAGAAGCAATTTGAATTTAAAAACTAGATAGATCCATGTTTTACTAAGTTAAACATTTTATCTTGTATTTGTTAATCTGTAAATTTAGTGCCGATAACTTTTACAATAAGCCTATAATAGTATTACCCCATACAGAAATCATTGGTTGACCTGGCTAAAATTTGGTAAGATTTAGGTGATGCTATTCAATCTTTTAAATCTTCTCATTTAGTATGATGAGAGTTATCTCCAAAAATTTACCTTGAAATGATACACTTGCTTGATGAGAAAGCTTTAATCAAGGACACTTAGGCATGATCATCAGGTTCAGTTTACGTTTTGACTACAATGTCCTTGAATAAATTGTCTCCGGTGTGTTTCCAAATATATCTAAAGGATACCCTATGAGTAAAGAAGCTTGTAGATTTGTGGTTCCAGGATGTTATCTGGGTTGAGAACCCAGTAGTTTGCCTAGTGCAGTGCTCAGTCAGGGGCTTCATTAAGGGCTGGGCACCGGCCAAATTGACTGGTTGTAAGGACGGTTTTGCCCACCTGGTTTAACAATCTGGAGGAAGGTTTATCTTATAAAGAAGTTTAGTTCAATTCCGCCTGTGAAAACCAGTTGCTCTCCTGCTGAAAAAATTAATGAAACCCCTGCTCAGTGGAAACTGTGGGCTTTATAGTTCAAAGGCAAAACTGAATGGAAACTGTGAGCTGGTTGGAACAAATAATATTAACAGAAAAAGATCAAAGATTTGGTCAGGGTATATGTTTTGCACCAGGGCATTTATTCATTCATATCTATTTATTCCTTCCTTCTATCCTTAAAAAACAGAATTATTTTTAGAAGTTGATAGAATGAAATATGTTACATTTTAAAATAATCATTAATTCATAAGCTACAAAAATTTCCTTATTTCTAGCACTACAAGTGAAAGTGTTGTGCCTAAAGAAGATGCTACAGTTAAGGAGCTAACTTTGATATTAAGAGAATGGTTTGTCATCTGGAAAGACCTTTACAAGGTGTGGAAATGTTAGAAAACTAGTGTTCATGTATTAATTAAGCAATTGTTTGATATGTGCATTAAACTGACTCATCTTAGCCGCACATGATAATATTATAATTATAATGTGGAATGGACAATTTGCAGTATGAGATTTTAAATGCCATGTCCTTGTTTTTGAAAATCCACCACCGCCACCACCCCTCTCCCTTCCACTTTATCAGTGTCACTGGCTAAGCAATACCACATACAAAACTTAGATTGACAAGTTTGGAATTCAAAAGAGAGGTGGAGATTGTTAGTGATATTTAGCTAATTTTGTGGTTGATCATTTTAAGTTAAAAAAGCTGTTTTTTTATTTATTTTTATTTTTATTAAACTATTAGAAAGTGCCTCAGCATTTTACCAACAGGTTGTAGCTTGTAAAAGAGTCTTCTATAGCACATTAATAAAGCCTCAGACTGTTAGGTCTAGATTCAATTCCTTGTCGGCAGCAGGGGAGGGGGGTATTTTTTTTCTGTTTTTGTTCCATACCCATAAAGGAATTATAATTATAACAACCCTCTTTGTTCTGAAAGTAATAATTAAGCAAAGAAATGATCCATGCAGGAGGGCTACAATTTAAGAGCGGCCGTCTGTAAATATCGCCCGGAGGAATGCAATATGAAAAAATCGAAAATCCCCAAACTTTGCCAGAATATAGGTCCGGATGAACTATTTCTAGAAAAAATACTTTGAGTGCAATTGCATTTTCATTTTTCACGAACGGCAGAAAAATCGGTTTTGTGGCTCTCACATCAGCTTCATGAGGTTTAGACAACCATTATTTGAACGTCGCTTGAAAATAAACAAATCAGTAAATGTGACCCAATATTTTTCTAATGAAAAGAACACATAATTACAAACAGTCTGAAGTGTTCTTTGTTTGATTCCATTGCAATCTAAATTTTTGGGGAATTTTTGTTTTTTTCCAATATTTCACTCATTTTGGCAGACAAAAAAATTGCAATATCGAGAAGGTAAAATCGCACCTTGGTAAATGGCACAGGGTTATTTCAAGTTAATCCAACGAAAGAACAATCAGATTCTTGGGCTACTCAAACTATTAAATTTTAGGACCCCAAACAAAAGTGACTCAGAGGTCAAAATGGGCCATTCCTTGTCAGGCAATTGGAGGCGAAAAATCAACAATGCGCATGTGGAAAAGATAACAGACCATGTCGGGAGCGAAACATCGTTACCAATCTGAATAAAAAGTTTACTTTGATCAACATTTGTCGTTTCTGCTGTTCAGGTTAACTGACATTTAAAATTTTAGCGGTTATATTTGAAACAAAACAAGTCAAAATGCAACATTGTCCAGTTCGAAGCAGCCAAGGATGGATACAAACCATAAAATAAATATGTTTGCCATATTTACACTTTGATTTGAGTATTGTTTATAAATTTGTACCTACCGTGCATCAGCGCCAAATAGTGATTGTGTATTCGTTGCTGTAAACTTCCCTCCGCTTTCTCAAAATGTTCAGTAATGATTGCGTGACAGGCAGACCCACAAGTCCTGGGCCACAATTGCAAGAGCACATGTCTTTACCACAAACACTGGCACTCTTCCTTTATATTCAGTATTATTTCTTTGGGAACGTTGAATAATGCTTGTAGGCTTTATGCCGGACTCCGGTATGAAAATGCTTGTAATAACTAAAAGCAGGTCTTTATCCGCTGTTGTCACCACGGTCAAAAACCTAATTTCCTCATACTTTTATTAATTGATTTGGAAAATATAACTCGGATAAAAAAGAACTGAAGCAAGACTACATGTAGAAGGCCTTCAATAACCATTGTTAGGTAGCTTCTTGAGTTATCTTATTGTTTATACACTATATAATGTCTACATAATCAATAAGAAAGCATGAGAAATATTGAGATGTTACCTGCCCTGGCTAGAAGAAGATCTACCTCCATTTTCAAAGTTGAATCAAAGCAGTCAAAACTTCAGGTGACTCTTGATGTTTCTTCTGCATGTTTCTATTGCCTCGCATAAAGCATTTGTCGGATTAGAACCACTGCATCCACAAGGCCCTCTAACTAGTTCAGAGTAGCCACAGATTGTCATTACATAGACACAACTGTGCAAAAGTGCACCGTGGTACAGATTATCAACACAGAAGTAATCTGATTGTGTGTCACACATGAAGACGTTCATTTATCTATATATATATCGAAAGTGTCAAAGTGATCGTATCAGCCTTTTTGCATGCCAAGTGCTTGAGGTTTGGTCGTGATTCCCAGACACTTGTACACAAGACAATACCTACTTGCGTAAATCTTCTCCCATCTACTAATGTGGGAAGCTTACAGCTTCAAAATTAGAACAATGTTACAAGTAAAAACACAACAACATGAAAAGTATACAATGTGTTCCTACACCAATCAAGATGTAAAACATTACCACTGATTAGATAAGCTTTGAAAGCTTATTTGATGAAGCCTTTAAAATGTCAACAGATCAGTGAATGAAAAAGAGGAGGGGAGTGAATAAAGGGAAAAAATTCCCCCAAAAAGTATTCAAGCATAGTTCAACGTTCGCAAATGAAAAAAACTGAATATAGAGCAAGAGTGCCAGTGTTGCTTGTAAAGACTCTTGTTCTTGCAATTGTGGCCCAGGACTAGAGTCCACCTGTCACACAATCATTACTGAACATTTCGAGACAGCGGAGGGGAGTTCACGCAGCGAATACACAATCAATATTTGGTGCTGATGCATGGTATGTACAAATTTATAAACAATACTCAAATTAAAGTGTAGATACAGCAAACATATTTATTTTACGGTTTGTATCCGTCCTTGGTCGCTTCGAACTGGACGATGTTGCATTTTGGCTTGTTTTGTTTCGAAAATAACCGCTAAAATTTTAAATTTCAGTTAACTAGAGCAGCAGAAACGACAAATGTTGATCAAAGTAAACTTTTTATTAAGATTGGTAATGATGTTTCGCTCCCAAAGTGGTCTGTTATCTTTTCCACCTGTGCATTGTTGATTTTTCACCTCCAATTGTGTGACAAGGAATGGCGTGTTTTGACCTCTGAGTCACTTTTGTTTGGGGTCCTAAAATTTCGTAGTTTGAGTAGCCCAAAAATCTGATTGTAATTATTTGAAGAAGAAACCTTGTTCTTTCGCAGGATTAAATTGATATAACCCCGTGCCATGTACCAAGGTGCGATTTTACCTTCTCAATATTGCAATTTTTTGTCCGCCAAAATGAGTGAAATATTGGAAAAAAAACAAAAATTCCCCCAAAATTTAGATTGCAATGGAATTGAACAAAGAACACTTCAGACTGTTTGTTAATATGTGTTCTTTTCATTAGAAAAATATTTGGTCACATTTACTGTTTTGTTTATTTTCAAGTGATGTTCAAATAATGGTTGTCTAAACCTCATGAAGCTGATGTGAGATCCACAAAACTGATTTTTCTGCCGCTCGTGAAAAATAAGAATGCAATTGAACTCAAAGTATTTTTTCTAGAAATAGTTCATCCGGACCTATATTCTGACAAAGTTTGGGGATTTTCGATTTTTTCATATTGCACACCTCCGGGCAATATTAACTGATGGCCACTCTTAAGTAATTGTGGAAAACAGGGCTCAACACTAACTTTTCAACTTACTAGCAAAGTGGCTACTGACAACTTAGATGTTACAACAATTTCAGTTTGTTTACTAGCCAAAACTGAATTTCTACTAGTCTGTGGCTAGTCGGCTAATGTTAGTGTTGAGCCCAGATAATAAATATCTTACTAAAAAGAATTTTCCACTGGGACATGTGGCATGTACAATTTAAACTTGGACTGTAAATCGAAGAGGAAAAAACTTAGTACATACACATAACGTATGGTGCATACCTCAAGCTATATTAGAAAATGGTATGCATTCAAAATTACCCGTTTTTTAAGTGAAAACAATTTTAGTGCAGGTACAAGGTTGCTTCTCCCCTGGAATCTCAAAATGAGATATAGTTATTCATATAATTATGTATGTTTCAATGGCAGGAAAATTACATAGTTTCTGGGGCATTCTTCTCCCTAGAGAAGTTATGTGCTTATGTTTGAAAAGAGTGGTATGGTTCATTCAACAATAGAGTCTGCTTATGAGTCTTACAACAATTTTCAGATTGCCCTTCCTTTTCTGTGAATGGTATCACTTAGGGAACGACTACATGTTTGAAGCTACAATACTACAATGAAATCCACAGAGTTTGGTCAATTTGTTAGATCTTCGAGTTGCTTGTAATTTCAAATCAGGTTTGCCCTTTACTCCTTGACAATGGATAAAAAAACACTAAGCTTTTACGTTTAGCCCCACAACTGTTTACTTATTGCTAAAACAACATCTACCTAATGCTGGTACTGTAAATGCCCATCCTACTTAGAAATCATGACATTGCAATAAAGACACCGTTACTTTTTTTATACAATCCCTGAGTTGGAAAGTTTCCTGTCTAGGCAAAGTTTTTAAGAGAATTTTTGTGTTATATCTACATCGACGTCTTTGCCACTGGATTGTCAAGACCAGATTATCTTCTGAGGCAGTTTTGTTTATGAAAAAGCACGTGGAAGTTTACATACCGAATCATTAACTTCAAAAGGAAATAAAGCGAAAGAATTCAACATTATGATCCTTTTTCTTTTAAAACGAGTGTCCTTCACTACAATGCAAAGGGCACTTCCCCCACACCACCGAGAATTTCAATTCCGTTGAGTCAGGGAAATCTGGTTGCCTAAGCCACACATGCCAGGCGAAGTTCGAAGTCAATATGTCTGTGAAATTTACTACAGTAAAGTTTGTCGCAATTTAACGATTCAATTCACAATCAAACGAGACACTTTGCTTCCAAAATGCTACCAAATCGTTCTCTTGAAAAAAATTATAACAATCACATGCAAATAGGTATGCAAAATTCCAAAAAACAAAAAACGGCTACCATAGTTGAGCAGAACAAACAAAATAATACAGTATCCCCTCTGCAAGTTCAACTCGTTTAAGCACCTGAATATCCTCCATTGTACGTTTAAATCCCTCAGTCACTACTTAAACAAAAACATACATCTCACCTTCTTTTTTAATTTTCTTTAAGGTTGTCTTTAAGCTGTTGTTCGGTGTTTTAGTTGGCGACGGTGAAGGTGATGTCGGTGACATAGACGTTATGTTCCAACTCTCTTCAGACGAACTCAAACGATGCGTTTTACCAAAATTCTCCGAAGGTTTTGTCTCTTCTTCGAAACTCGTCTTTCTTTTCTTCTTGACATGTTCATCTTTTGGTAATATGAGGCTTGTTGGATTCTTCAGGAAAGGAGATTTGCTAGGAAACGTATCACGACCGTTGACGGCAACTTCCTTCGAGGTCGCCATCTTAGAATTTATATTATGGGTAAACAGTGACGTCACAGCATACTCTTGCCGTTTTTCGCGCGGTTATTTTTTTTTCTATTTTTTTGTAACTTTTACAAAAATTGTTATGTGAGAGCAGAAAAAAATTTTAACTTCTGACCTTTGCATACTGAAGAAAACAGCATTGTTAGAATATTTCGATTTATAAGGTTAAAGCATTTTTACTCTTTGCGCAGAAAATTTGTCTACAGAGCATCGTGGGTAGAATTATTACGTCTATTATATTTCAAATTTTATTTCTAAAATATTCAAGACATTTTAGGGTCAATTTAAATGTCTTAACGATTCGTCGAATGTGTGTCAAGATTTATCGTTAAAATACCTGGATAATTATCTCACAAATAGTTTAATTTTAAAGAGAGCACACTAATCCTATCATTTATATTTTTTTAATGCACACTATCACAGAATATGATCAGCATCAAAATAATTTTAGTAACAAATAAAATACTTTTTCTCGACAAACAGGATCTGTCGTTCTTACACCTGGTGGGTGGGGAGAGGGGGAGCAAGGCTGTCACTCAAACGAGGCTACAATACAGGGAAAAAGTAAACATGGCGCCGGGCGCTAGAACGCCGAGAGTTTCCGAAATACCAATCTACACCCTTGATTTTCCCCATACTTGTGTCATTCCCTGAAAACAGAAATGAATGTCAGCTCAGAGGGTCAAATATGAAAATATGGCTTCCTGGAAAGCGACAAGTGATGCAAAATTTGGAGTCGGTAGGCGTTTATCGTTGACATATTCAGATCCGCTTTCAAATTTTGAACTTTTCAACGTGCCCTGAACAAATATAAAGCCGTCTTTTTCGTCTTCCAGTTGTTTACAATTTTGACGGAAATATTACGCATGGACTGCGGTTAACCATTGGCGAAACTGTGCACATTTTAGAAGAATGCGCAGGTGAGCATTATCTAATTTTAATAGTTGACTTCCAGTCGGTATATTAGCAGTCTTCTATTGCCTAAAAATATTTCCTTATTGGCCTTTCGTGTTATCCGAAGCTTTATGATTAATCTAAGGGTTTCCGGATTTATCGTGGATGTTTGATGATTGCAAAAGGTCGCTTTCTTTAATATTCCTAGAAAGGAATTCAGTAATTTTCTATATGTTTACTTCGATCGGGTTTACTAAAAATAATGTTTGTTACTTTTCTAAGTTTGTTTAAATCACGCAATATAAGTGTCATTATTAAACCTCGATTATAATGATCATATTTCGGTCGCGAGCGTTTTAGCTTCTATATAGTCAATCGATGTTTCAGCAGCATTCGTACAAACTGAGTTAAAACATGTTTTCGTGTTTTTCTTATTCGGTTTTTCGATGGAATAGGTTGGTACAGGGGATGTACTCTACGAAACAAATCTGTAAAGGTAAGTTCTTCGCCTTTCAAGAGTTGCTAGTTTATTTTAGTGATTAATTATCTAAATATAATTTAAATATGTTTGCTTCATTTGAGTGTAATAGGGCCCGTAATAAAATCAATTAAGATATATGTTTTAAGTTAAGTTCGCAAATTGTATCATGTTAAAGTTTATCTTCTTGGATTAAGAATATAGGAAGAGCTTCTAGAAGCACCTCTCTTGCTAAAAATATCTGTCAAGGGTTCTGTAAATGAGAAAAAAGAATATTGATCTGATTCATTCATTTTCACAACTTCTTGTGTTGTGTATATCTATACTATTACTAATAGTCATCCTTCCCTGATGTAAGTACAAGAGAACCCTGCTAAAGTCAGTAAACTTGAACCTTCTCACTAACTTGAACAAAATGCCATTTCCCCTGGATGTGACCCCATTTTTTCTGGATGTGACCCCATTTTTTCAGTCCATTTTTTTACCACTATGGGATAGTGGAGTCTGATTGTCGAGGTGAGTGTAGCCCTGAGGAATACTTGTCGTTGGGGGTGATGACTGACACTTCAACAACCTGAGCAGAGGTCACTGACTTGACTCTGATGATGACCTCTGCCTAGGTTGTGAAAAAATCAGTCTGCACTACTGATGACAGTCCAGGACTACACTCACCTAGACAATCAGACTGCACTATGTTACCCCCAGATTCAAACTATTTACTGTATTATTACTACTATCATACCTCAAAACTCAGTCAAATCAAACTTTAACTAATTTTACCTTTCCCTGGCTTAAAATAGTTTCTACTCTAGAGCCTCAAGAATATCTAATACATTTCCAGAATACTTGAGGGTCAATACCCAATCTATTAAAGTTTTTGAAACTAATTTGAAGAAATATTACTTAGATCTAACTTCAACTTTGTATGATCCTGCATTTCCACAAACTTTCAAAAGTGTCTGCATAAAATGTCATATGAGTTGACCACTAACAGCATTACTAGCCAAACTCTGTT